GGAATCAGTAGTGAAACTCCAAACCACTTTACTACTATCACAACTCAGGAACTGTTGAAATTATTTATATCTTTGAAGGTCAGCCATTGAAATTTATCATCGAATAGTGGTAATTCATGCTATTCTCGCTATGTGTAATCATCGAAATAAAGAATTTATCAGATGTTTCCTGCCAATTCAGCACAAGGTTTCACAGAATAAATGACATTTATTCCGTTCAACAATGAAGTGATTTATAGAGTCAAGAATACAAGTGAATCAAAAAATGAACAAATATCATTTTTAGCTCCATTATTCACCTGTGTCGAAAATAAATTGCAGTCCTAACAAAATAAAACTCTCCTTTTATTTTATTTGAGACGTTTTTTTGAGTGACTATTTGCTACAAATTATACACTCAATATAAAATGCATCACAAGCACTACTGATATTTAGCAGTAAACTCATTCACAGCGTAATTCGACGTTCATCAACAATTTAGTTATTGTTACCTAGCGCGATCTAACTTATTGATTTTATACCACTTGAAATCAGATTTCTCCAAAATTCTAATAAATCATACTTACATTCCGTTGCCGAATAAATATTTCGATTTATTCTAAAAATAAAAATAAACACGGAATAGGATTTGGTAAAGAAATATACGGTTCATCGATAAACTACGCCTTAGATATGAAATCTTATCCGTTTTTCATCTTTGATTATGCATAATTATTTCATTTTTCCCGAGAAAATACATTCAACATTCATCTTTTAACAAGAGTGTATAGATGACAATATTGAGCATCATTGAAAAGTCATTTCGTTCCAAAATAAAGTAGCATTCTGTAGAGTGTAGACGAATAATAGGATTTAAAACTAACCAATGAACCACGAAATTGTGCCAGATGTTAAATTTAGTATTTTTATCGAATATGGAAGATAAAAGTGTGTTGAAGTAGACTAGTGAAGCTGTCTCTGTGGTATATAGCACGTGGAACATGTCGGACCTATTCGTAACCGCAACGACATTATTTTTGTACCAGTAAATATAAGCATGTCGAAATAAAAATAAGGAAAGTTACATTCTTGATGTTCAAAGTAACATTTTAGGAATTTTTCTACACGTCCAAATTCACCTCACAAGAAATTTGTTTCACGACACTGGATTAAATATTGCCAAGCAATGACAATCATTTCGACATAGGTAATGTCACATGACCGGAGCTGGGAATTTCAGGGAAAGCAATTTAAGCGTTAACCGGGTAAAATTAACCGCTTAACCGCAGCGTGACTTTTGACGTGATAATTTATAATTTTAGCTTATTACGTCACAGTGGTTACAAAGCAATTTTGCGTGATCTTATCCCGGTATCGCTCGAAATTATTCACGAATCGAGATACTTTCGTGATCGCTCTGATGCAAGAGATATGCAGCGTGCTTCGGACATATGGAAATATTGTGGAAAAACTCGATTCGGTTATGAAATGCCATTCACGTGACAAATTTTCAGTGCTTGATGTGCAAATTCTGCTTTGAGAAATCATAAAGAAAAACAGCATCAACTACGCACATTGAATAGGCGATTTTGCAATAAAATCGTGAACAATATATTTTTACCGAAAACTGATTCTGAATTTGCATTGTCTAATTTTCATAATCAGCAATCTTGGTACTTTTATTATTTTTCAATTTTATTGGGTACTTACCAATGCAATTATGGATATGCTTTTGAAATAAACACCACACAAGATAAATTTGCGATGACATAATCATTTTTGTAGAAATTGTACATTATAAAGATTTTGTACCTCAGATGTCAGTTAACGGTTAAAATAAATCGTAACCGTTAACCATCTAATATCGATTAACCGGTTAATCATTCCCAGCCATACACATGGCACATCTGACGTATAATCATGACTGGGAGAATTAGAAAGCTTGGGAAACAAAGATGAGTTCGTTATTAAATTTCGACTTTTTATGAATATTTGTTCACAGTAAGGCCAAGCGCATTCATTGGGTAGTAGATAGCTTCAACATTGAATAAAGCAACAAGCTATTTAATTGGAATCACAAGATCTACAATCGATTTTTAAAATTATATGCTTTGTGCCTAATAAATAAGTTTATAATCCCAAATAACAAAATATGTCATATCGCCATATTTTTACGTATACAATTTATATTTGATAAACGTGCGTTGAGTAAATGTTAATTACAGCTGAAAGACAGATTTGTGGGTGCGACTGAGGCGTGTTTAGTAAACTCGTGCTTTAAGAACAAATTTTTAAACGTTAGTAAAACCACAAAATTTTAAATATTGTTGAAAAGCGATTTTCATTTTCATGCACAGATTCCGTACAAATGTAAATTAATTAATATTGAACAAATGTTGACCTCGACGTGAATGCGGACAAACCATATAGTTAAATCATAAAGCAAACTCAAAATAATCCAGTTGAGGTATTCGCCGCCATTTCAAAAATGCCACGAAAAAATCCTTTCCGTGACATCGCCCAAACACTAGAGGTTCCGATACATCAATCGACGAAAGCCGTCAAAATACGATATAACGTCGAGTAGCTGATGATTTGCCTCACTAAGGTGCTGTGCCGCAAATCGGGCGCGTCGTCTGATGACCTAAATCGCACAAATAACTGGGATAACGTACAAATCAAATTTTAGGCAGGCATAAACGATTAAAGTTTAGGTTAAAAGATGAAATTTTGTTACACAGAGAGTCGACACGAGACAGAAAGATTAGACAGAAAACATAATTTGCGTTTCAAGTATATAGGCCTTAACTAGTAGTCTAACTTCTACATGCAAGTACAACGCGAAAGATTAGTAAAATATTATATAAAAATACTCGAGTTTGATTTTTTCAAAACTAAGGCTCGATAAAAGATGTATTATATTTGGAGATCGAGATCAGCCGTTTTCATTTTTGAAACGTAATGCAATGCTACTGAAAAAAGTCGTAAACGCCCAAGCTTTTGAAAGAGATCAATTCATAATCGATGTTGGAATATTTGTTATGTCGATAGAAATAATTTCAATTTAAGTGAAGTACCAGAAAAGTATGCTTATAATAATTGAAAAAAATCAATATACAAGCTCGTGCTATTAGCTATATAATGCTCTTTAATTTTTTCTCATAAATGAATAGAAAGGGAATGTACCTAATTGGAATATAAATTCCTTGGATTTTAGAAATAGTAATTACCTTCAATGTAAAATTAAATATCGAATTCTATTTGACCTGACTTTCAAAGAAGAGAAGCTGTTGTCAATACTTATTTAGAATCTAGTTGTTTGTTTGATGTAATGAGTAGATATATGACGGAAAAGGTAACCTAACGCTAGGGACTTATGCATAAATATTTGACGACGGTATGTATTCACTAATTGTTCTTTGCTGGGGATGAATCATGATTATTAAACCTTATTATGGTTTATCCTCGCTTTGTGAAGGGTCGCAAATATTATCTGAGCAAGTTAGAGAAAGAAACGTTTGCTTTTTCATTCATACAGTAACCCCATTGCCGCATAACCTTTGTACACAACACCCATTGTACCTTTTCATAGTAGCGGTCTCAGATAAATCATTCATAATATCTCATAACTTTAAAATAGTTTGAGTGAGACGATAAACAGCCTGATTTTATCATTGTGGGTAGAGCTGTATGACTTTCTATTTAACGTCGTTAAACATAATTAGCTGCAAACGGCGACAAAAGAACGCAAACAGGCTGCATTTTCACACGTTTGCTGGTTCAAGGCAAACATTTCGGCTCGTGTTACTGTCGTTAAATCGGTAGTGAATACAATATAAATTGCACTTAAATATTATGTATCGTGTATGGTCCGTACTCACTCAGGAGTGTTATTAAATTTGGAACCTTTAGTGGTGAACTGCATCATGGCGTTGAACAATAACGGCAATGTCACGAGGGCAATGTCGAGACATAATTCGTTATAATGGAGTCGACCAGGGTGGTCTAATTCTCCTTTATGTTCGCCATTGTTAATTTGAGTTTGAAAAAAGAGATCATTGTCATAATTTACCCCCACTGAATTCAACTTTGCCAAAATCTTTATAATTGAATGATATAAATACTGTAAGGCCATCCATTGATCGTATGTTTACCTTGAGCCATGTTGTTATTGGCATGTTGGAAAAAGTCAGTCAGGTATGCGCTTCGGAAGAGCGCTGAAATCAAGGAGAATTGAGAGTGTAGTATGTTTTAGAATTATTTTTTACAATTATTTAAAACCGTTTTTTATTGTTCGTCGGTAAACTGGTATGATTTTTATACCAGATAACTCAATTTCAAGTGTCCCTAAAAAGCATTTAAACACCGATAAAATTCTGATAATAGCATTGTCACAAAGATGTTGGTACAAGATCAGACATCCGTCTTATAAATATCCTTTTAAGTTCATAGTGCATAGTAAAGTTTACTTGTCTTCCACATATAGTGTTGTTTAAAAATTGAGTTTTGAAATATGGTGGTGGAATTTTTTTGCTAAATATCCAAATATCTGTTCATTGTTACCCACGAACGTCACTAAATTACGCCCTATTATTCGATACTCATTTATCTTCAGCCACCCGTAGCTTGTTTTGAATAGAACTTCATTCTATTGTTAACTACAACAAAGGTGAACTAAATTAACAAGAAATTTCTCATAGTTCAGGTGGCTATCTGCTGGGAGATTGTAATAATTATATCTCGTTATTAAACCATTGAAATATGCTGTGCAATCGTTTGTTACCTTCTCCGTTATGACTATGCGATTCTTTTCTAAGTACTTTTTTCTAACTGGTACAAGCAAATTGACTTGTTGCATGGATGCAAAATATTTCTATAATTAGTTTTTACACCTTGTAAAAACCTAAGGACAAGCAACTGCTAATAAATCGGGAGCCACTACCCCGAAACTAAAAAAGATTTCGCATTTGTAAGCAAAATAGTTAACTAGATTGTTTGTTAAATATTTTCCCATGACAATATCATATTAACTCACTCAAAATTCAGAAACAAAGACTCAAATTGAGTTTCGGAGTTAAGGGGCATGGGTAGATTATTAATGCGTTTTTGTTTTTATATACATCTTAATTTTGTTTTCAGAATTTTCAATTACAAAATCTAATCATGAAATTTATAAACAAACTTGTAATTTTATTAATCGTTCTGCTGTCAACTCTTTTCGTTAATATCGCTGGTAAAAAACATGGACAGTCTCGTCAGAAAAGAATGCCGGGAACCAAACCAAAAAACAAGCATATTCACAAATATCTCAACAAAGGGGCCACAGTGGATTGTTTCCAAGCTTTTGATGATTGTCGTCAAAGCCCAAAATGTCGAAGTGCCATTCATGCACTCGACAAAAAATGCCGGGTGAGTGTAAAAATATTGCACCGTTTTATTTTTGGTTTGACGTGATTCAAAAATATTATTTAAAGATGTATTTGGCACATACTTGATCGGAGTAACTTCGACGTTAAATTCCATTCCACGGGGTCAAGAAGAATATACCAAGTAATATATAATTTTCACATTTGCAACTATTATTGTTTTTTAAAACCAACAAACCCCGGGTTAACGCAAGGTAGAAATTTACGGATCGCAAGGCTTACCAAAAAAAAAAAAAAAATTGAAAATTCTGTAAGCAATGTTGGTATACCATTCCAAAGAGAAAATAAATAGAAAATGAAGGCATGTTTTGAACATAGTTCGTGGGTATAGGTAAAAATTCATTTGAATGGAACATAATTGTATTGTATAGCTCTAAATTATATGGAAATGAGCGTTTAAACCTTCATTGGTGGTGGTCAAACAAAAAATATTCTATGGAATTGCTCCTCACTGTAGTGTGGTCTATATATGAATATCAATATACCAAAGGGGTTTGAAAAAAATTATTTGTTTTCGTGAGCGAATTTTCAAGGAAGCGGTAAAAATACTCGAAATTCCTTTTTATAAATAAGTATTTAAAAAAAATGGAGTATAAAAACCAATCAAATTTAGTACAAACAGGTTGCAATTTAAAAAAAAATACAGATAAAATTATTTTATATTTCTCTTCATTGTTTCTTTTTTAAATAAAATAAAAAATTATCAACTATTTGAGTAGAAATGATCAATTTACATTGAATCATATTTTGCTTTCTAATCATCAAAAACGTCATTCTCTCTCATTTGACGACCGGTGAACTAATAATGTTTATTGACTTAGCTTTACCTAACAAAACATGGCTTCAGACATTTCCGAAGATAAACGATTTTATTGAAAGATACTTTGTTCCAGAAATACTGTATTTTAATGATTATTTTACCCTGTACAAGGCTTATTATGTTTTGACATCCTGTTGTAAAATGGGCTTTAACAACAAAGCTTCTATATTTCATTCAATTATATGCTGCGAGTTTATAATTCATCATATATGATTCCATAGATAAAATGTGTTTTTTAGTCTTGATTTATGTATGGTTTTTCCGCGATCAAATGTATATCGTTAGCCTTTGATAAAAGAGGTGTTAACCAGTTGTTACACATCGTTGAACAGACTCAAATACCGACTCGACACTCCAGGTTCGATTTATTTCAATTTTGGTCAATTTAGGTCGAATAGATCAATCATGGCTTGTATTTTTACGGGGAAATAGATATGCTTAACTGTTGCTTTTCCTAAATCTGCGTTTGTTCGTCTGGACCCTAAAAGAGCTCTATTATTTGGGGGCTATAAGTCAGGGCTTACGTCATTATACGTGTAATGAATTTTATTTGAAACAAAAATAGCAATAAACATGAGAACTTCATTTGGAGTAGTATCATATGAAGTAGATTTTTGATCATTATTTGTCTTCTAAAAAGCCCCTATGAAAAGATACGTGTCAACAGGTTTAAAATTGGAGTAAATATTTACTAAATTGACATGCAATGCTTTTAGTATATATATGTATATATTAGTGAACTGCCTCTACTTAACCAACAGAATGTTATCAGTCTTTTTGGTTGAGGTATTACTCGAATTAAATGGTCATCAACACTCCAAAAAGCTCATGCAGAAATTACGTTTCGAGTACATTTTGAAAATGTGAAGGATATGTCACAGACCTTTAATACGTACTGAGATATAAATTTGATTTGAAACAAACAAGCATATTTATGGTGTAGTTTCACCAAATGAAAATAATTTGCAAAGCCTTCATTAGCTACGGGTGCAATGGTCGTACAAACACACCAATAAACTATGTTTCAGTAAAAGCCTGGTAAAAATGGAATTACGTTGAACAAGATTTTACTGCCACTGCCATGTTCTCACAAGCAATGACTTTATCTTATCTAAGCGTTCTTGTAACTCAGGTCAAAACGAACCCCGCGTACCAAAGGAAGAATATGATATTCATGAGTGCTATTTCTCGTCGCAAAGATTAATCAATTTCACGTATTTGGTGCAGTCCAATACCGCTGGTTGACGGGATTACTTTAGGCTAAATTTTGCGTGTTCTGTATCACCATTAGTATAATCTGATAAGAGACAGTCTAATCCACTTAGCGTAGCATTTACGTGCGAATATCCGTGAAACAAATCCTTTTTATTCTCACATTTCGAATTAATTCTTCACAAGAAACAGTGAATCAAATTTTGAAAAAACTTGTTGCTTTTGCTGTGCTTCTGACAATAAGCCAGTAGAATAAAGTATGGTTGTGCGTAGCATGTAATTTCATGGTACTCGGCGACATGATTATAAAAATTATGTCAAAAATTGCGTATCGAATTTGCTCAAAAACTTTTTTATTCCTTGTTATGAATTCCATTAATGAACAGATTTTTCTAGTTTGCTGGCAACAAAGCCTAAAACACGTTAACACCCTCTGAAATAAAATTGGGTTTTGGATCTTCAATTTTCTGCCTCATTGTTCTAGATAATGAAGTAATTTATGCATATTTTACAAGATTTTACACCATTAGGTATTTATTCTTTAAATCTAAAATTTCATGACATAAACTGAACACGTGATCACGTGAGATCCTCGTCTTTAGATTCATTGACCTGAAATTTACAACAGAAGTCCTTTGTGTTATAAAAAGCTAAACCCTATGATATCGTCTCTTGAGCTAAGAGGGAAGAACATGTCCAAAACGCGAATATTATTTATGCGTTCTTGGTAATTCGACGTTAGTGTACTTGAAATATAAAATCCAACATGAAATAAATTTTTTTTTCTATTTATCAGGTTGTTTCGGGACAATGTAGCGCAGAAAAAGAAAAACTTAATAGGTGTGGAGAAATAATGGATCTTCTCTTCTTGAACGGATTTCCAGAAAATAAGTGCAGGTGTGAACACGTAAGTCAGCTTTGATTATTTTTGCTTCTTAAAATAAATATCATAAATTTTTTTGAATATGTAAATATTCATATTATTTGACCATGGTTTTCATCTTTGCTGGTTTTTACATCTGAGTAGCTCTGAGTAGTCCAGTAGCTTATTTTATTAAAGTTGAGACCCACTCTTGAAAAAATGTCACTTTGACTGATATTATGAGTAGCTTGAGTAACTGGAAAAAATATAACGCTGTTAAACAATTTCTGTTACCAAATAAAAAATAATTAGACGAATAATTAGTTTGGTTAGACCTTCCTGATTGTAGAAACTGAAATGGACGACTGAAAGAGTTATTTAGAAACTCACACATTTAACAACAAGTAAAGTACATAATTGTAAAGTAAAAATTGTTCATTATATTGAGAGTAGAAAGTCACGACCAAATTGATTTATTCTGTTCAATTCATTTGAAGGCGGCTCTTATAGATTTTACGAACACAAATAATCGATTTTAATTTAAAAAAGGCCACGGTCATATAAAATATGTATAAATGGAAAGAATATTAATAATATTTACATATTTTCCAAAATAAGAGATTCCCTTGGCTTTGTAACAAATATCATTGGTAGTTTTGCAAGTCTGATATTTCAAATAGTTTATCACTCACAGTAGAACGTTACTACAAAATCCCATGTTTTAACGGCGTGATCTAAAACAAATGAAATGATCTCAAATCGTGCCTGAAAGCGTAAAATTCGAACACGAGTTACGACTTACTACGTATTGAACGTAACAAGAGGGTCTGACGCGTGCGAGTTCGGAATCCATGGAATTTGTCTGTGGCATTACCTCAGCAGAAAAACATTTTTCAACTTCAAAAACAAAGCTATAGAATCCGGAATCGAGTCTATTGACACTGATACTCACTTAACGCTTCAGATAACCCTAATACTGAAGGGTAATTGCGATTAAAAGGAGAAATTCGAACATCGATTGTGACTTAAACATTAGGGCATGTACGTGATTTTAAGCCAGAATATCGTCAAACCCAGCAATATACAAGTTTGTTTATTTCATAACATTGAACTAACCCACTTATTGATTGAGAAGTAAAAGTTCTGAATTCAATGAACAGTAGCGAAAACAGTCTAGCAGTTGACACAGCAGTAAAACCAATATGATATTGCCGGATTGCCGCTCCATACCTGACATCCGATTCTGGCGCACAGGTGGTCGAAATCTTACTTTGATCGAAATTAAATAAAAAATGGTTTGAACACGATATATTCCGATAATTAAAAAGCTATTTTCTTTTTACAGAACTTGCAAAGATGTTTCAAATTGTACAACAAAATTTATGCAAATCCGTGTTTTGGTAAGTTTTAATATCCCCGGTGTTTTATAAGAGCGATTATTTGTTCCTATATGAAACTGACTGCACAAAGCAGTATTTATGCGCAAAATGCATGCGAATTTAAAATTTTGTAATATTTATTCAATTGAGGGCATGCTTTTGGATCTTATTTTTTAGGGGAGTAACCGTTTTTGTTTTATTTAGCCGCAGTCAGACGTCATCGTCAAAAGGAGGCTGCTTCCGCTTTGCTCGGCGATTTTGAGGCGTCAACGCCGCTTTTAGAACCTCTCAAAGACCGCGAAACCGGCATTTTACACCGGGGAAACGGAATGCGAACCAACAGAACTGGTAAGAAAAACCGAAAGAATATAACACGTATCCTTGTATGAAAAAAAGTAAAAAAACTCAAAAGAAAATCTCATAGGGTGGAGTGAACTGTGAATCATTTGCCATATATTTCGGTCGAATTACCTCATGTCGATAATTGAGCATTGTTTTGACTCCTAGTATGGTAAAAGTATTTTTGTACGATTACTTCGTACAAAAGCTTAAATTTTGAGACAGTATGTCATCAACTTAAACTTTAAGTTAAGCTACATCTATTTCTGCTCAATTTCGCTGACGAAAGTTGCATTTCATGCTTCTATCATTCATGAAAGAGAAACATTTGTTTGACGTATTTTGATTAGCCTTAGACCTTTTCTCATACAGATTATGTATGTTGAATCACGTTTTCAATTAAAAAATATATCCATCAGTTACCATAAAAAGATTTTAATCAGTTGTATAGTGTCATATATTTGATTTTGCCAGAAAACCAGATAAATAACCAAACAATTCCTGTTCCACGATAAAAAGGGGTTATATAAAAATTGTGAAATTGACAAAAAAAATATTTTAACGAAATAAAACCATTGATTCAGTATAATCCAATTACCGGTATAGCACAAATTTGTACAGAATTAACTAACATATAACGTGGCTTTCAAATAGCCGTGTCCCGTGAGGAGTGTAAAAGAGCAATTGAGAAATAGGGAGAAATGTGATTATATATTGAAATACCCTCAAAGCGTAAACGAACCATATGGCAAGTCAAGTGCTGTGGTCGGTGATTCACAGGAAAACTGTTTGGTAACGAATAATTACAAATCAGGTTGAGTAAACTAACGTAAAGGATAGTGGTATACAATCTTATTTCGTACGAAACTATCATGCCGTTTAATCGTCTTCAGTCAGATATTGGTTAATTAGGATTGTTGAAGCATTAGTCCACCAGCTTAATGTTTCCAATGATCTTGTGTCTAGTCGGCATATTTTCATTTTTCAATGCTGTTTTGTTTTGGGCATGGCACCCTTTCTGGACACTTCTGATGTGATATAAAACCCATCTAATTTCCTAGATTGATATGGAATTTCAGATACTGAATAATTCTGACATATCCTAAATATAATGAGAAACACATTCGATTTACGCTTACATTACCACACTGGTTTACAATCAATATATTTACATTGTCTTCGAGTACCGCTCTATTTCTAGTGTCATATATATTAGAAGTAAAACAAATATCATATTTTTTCCAAATATTTAGAAATCGGCAACGTCGAAGGCATATCCAAATCTACAATTTCTGTCAGCACCAGCGAAACTGAATCAGAAGAAATTCTGATCATACCTGAGTTTGACTTCGACGATGAAATTCTCGAAGAAGAACTTGTATTTGGAGATGAGGGCTTTGCGAAACCTCCTCCGAAAAGAAAAACAACCCCATCGCAACCCACCAGACCCGGCATCAACAGTGAAGATGAAAAAGACGACAAGTTAGACAACGCACACAACAAAGACTCATTTAATGAGGATACCGGACCGAAATCTACACTCACATCTCACTATGATGCTAGCAATTCAAATTTAAATGATCAAGGTGATTGTATGGGTTATCAGGGCAATGTAAAATTACTGATAAGAGTATTCCCTGCAATCACATTTGAGATTTTATAGTCCCATTTCAGTATATAAAAATATATGCTACTATGAGTTTTTTCAAAGTTTTTACTAAATAAATTACACTGAAAATATTATCTACAACTTGCGTCTGTTGGCCTCCAAAATTATAATCATCAGCCGTGTACACCAAACGACCTACAGTACATTTAATTATAATAAACGATAATTAATTTGATAAAAAATTAAAATACTCACCTCATTTACCATAGTTTATTTATTTTAACAGGAGAGCACAAGAAAATATCATCATCAAATAATATCGATACTGATACAGATAAATCTAATGAAGATAGTAGCGATATTTACAGTAAGAAATTAAAATATCAATTGAAATTTTATTTGTTATTTCTAGGATTGACAAAAAGGCGAATGTTGGAATTTCGAAAAAAATTATTTTGAAAATATTACTAAGAAATGCTTTTTTAAGCTGATATCTAATATTCACCAAATTATTTCAATAAAAATCACAAGAGTTTTTAGACCATAAATATAAGTTTTTCTCACATTTTTTAAACAGCTTTTTCAAATTTTTCTGTATTATAGCCCTCCATTTACAATTATGTTCCCTGCTTTATAGTAAGACTGGTTTGGACCAAAGTTTGAAATTCGCCGACGAATTACTATTTCTGTAATATTTTAAATTTTCTACTTTTTTGTGAATTTTTATACAAGTATATTTTAGATTCTTTAGAAAGTCATTTCATCCATTGCTAAATTGGGATGTTTTTCAAAAATTAGCTTTTGGAATCGTTATTGATACAAAAATTTTAAAATTTATTTATGTTTGAATAATGCTTTCTTCTGTTTTCAGGAGCTATAGGTATTGCATTGGGGCTATCATTCGGAATATCAATTTTTATAACAATTATATATTTAATTTTGAAAAGGTAAGAAATTTAAATAAACTATTTTCCCATTTCTTAATTTTTATTAGTAAGTTAGTAAATTTAATTCATAACCGCCAAACTTTTCATAAAATAAGTGTGATTTTAGTCGAATTTACTGACAAAGTCCAATTGTATTTTTATTAGTCATTTTAACGCAGTGTATCTGTAAATATTTGAACTTGTCTCCAATAGCGACAGTGTGTACTGCCTGAAAACTAACTGTAGTCCGTAAATGACAAGTTCTAAAAATTGAAAGTTATTTTAAATCGTACATTCAAGCCATTATCGAGATTTGTCGGACCAGTCAAATTATTCTTGACCTGAACAAATTGCAAACGCTATCACCAAAGACATCAATATTTTATGCTTTCTATTGCACTTAATCAAGCATCGGGTGTGGCAAAGCCTGTATTGCTTCGTTTTGTGCGTGAACAAAACATATTACAAATTTGAAAATGTTTTTTAATCTCAGGGCGAAAGCGTCTCTTTTCTACAAAAACGGACGAGTAATAAGAAAAATCAGTGAAAACGGTGGATCATCGGCCCGTTTGAAAAGCGACTCGTCGTTCGGGCCTTCTAGAGCGTGACAATCTGTACCTAAAACGCGATAAATAAAACTGAAAAGTTTGTAAACTTCGAAAGCAAGTCGGTACACGAGAAAACGAAGGAAAAAGACTACCGATAAGACCACAAAAATAAGGCATTGACTGAGCCTGTCAAAGTCCAAAATCACGATATATTCATTTGGCCGTTAATTTTGTCGCCATGCGCTTCGTATTGTGTGATAGCAATTTTTACAAGGTTTTTATTTGTTTCTTAGTCATAAAATTTGCCGAATAAGCCTATAAGAAGCAAGATCATAAACATTAAAGAATAGGACGTAATATTTGAAACAGTTACAGAAAGTGGAAGCGCTATTTTGCGAGTAAATATGCTTAATACGTCACTTTATTATTGATTTTGAGTTGTTTACTATACCCTCCCTTAAAAAAGCCTTAAGACAAGTTTTCATTTCCAATAGGAGTTGGGTAATTCGAATCTAATATGATAGAAGTAGGCGGATGTTATACTTTCCGGCCAAGATCGGGGTACAAAGCTTGTAAGTCTTACGAAACAGGACTAGAAATAAAGAAACGTTTTTTAGCTGCGATGTCGGTTAGATTGTATATCATTTATTTTGTCCACGATTGCCCAAAAAAGAGAAACCAAAAATTTACTAATTATTTATACAAAAAAGAAGAAAACTTATTCAACACTTGCGCTTCTATTTGTGTATGATTGTACCCAAAAGTTTCAGTAATCTAGAACGCTTTGCACAAAAGTAGTTTTCTATCTAGAATACTAAATAACCTGAGTTTTTTTTTTGCCTCATCCTACTTGACAATTGTTTGTATTTACAACATTATAAATGAGAATTCCATATATACAGAAAAAGTGTGATAAATTTCTGCAGACAGCATTAAATATACCTAAGTTATGTATAGGTTTAAAAAAATTATATTTCTGAACTCAAAATATGTTTGCTTTATGTGGTGGATTGTTGCGACAAACTTCGAATTAAAAATATCTAAATCCTTTTCGAATGATATAGCTCACGATAAGCGTTTATTATTTTACGTTTAAGTGATAATTCTCCCAATATATATGCCCACAAATTAGGTTTTTATCATTGGATTATCAGGGATTTTCGTGCGAGCCTTCCCCGCTCGAAGCTCACTTTTTCCTTTAACCCGCTTTAAAACTACTATTCAAATATTTTAGTCCGAAATTATATAATGTTGTTTTATTGATTTTTCTTGATAAAATATAAGTTAATTGCAAGGGTGGAGTCACTTCGACATCACATTTATAATTTATTTATTATTTTTGGAGCTTTGAATTTTGGTTAAAACGTGCGATAAACTACAATTAAACTTTTGTTTGCTTTTATATAGCTTGCAAAATTATAGAAAATTGTTTTTGTCAGGTTACGTATGGCCATGCATAAAATCAGTCATGATTTTCATATGATACAATAAATCTACCGGTAATCGATTTATAATAGAATAAAAAGGTTAATAATAAAATGGAAACGTTTCAATAAGTAACATATTTATTTCTTCATTTTTAATAAATTACTGTGAATTTTTCTTTTTCTGATATTTTTCTGTTTCTTCTCTTATGTGTGCCTGTGCGTGTGTGTGATTTGAGCTCAAAAATAAACTTATATTCATGGAAAAAATCAAAAATAGATATTATGTTTTCTATTTGTGGGGATAGTCATGAAAAGTATATGCAGATATAAATATCTAATACAGTTGAAGAGCCGTTTGCTCGCGATTTCCAATTGGCCATTATTGATGTTTTTTTTTATTATCGCCCTTTCGAATGTGGAAACACGCATGCAAGTCCAGTACTTATACATTGTTGACTTCCTAACCTTCATCTTCGCAATAAACATACGACAACTTTCTTTATCAGTCATACCATTTAGGGTCATATAGTACATCCATTTCACTGCCGATTTGCTGAATAGGTACAGGACAGACAGACGAAAAATTGCAAAAGTGTTCACTTTATGGAAATTGAATCCGGTCCGAAATGTGGTCTATCATCAATAGCTGAAATAACGTTATCATTTCGATATTATGTATACATATATAACAAGCAGCATCTGTTCTACCAAAATGATTAGTACAAATCCAAAAGGTTTAATTTATTGATTTTAAAACTCATGGCCCGCTTGAATTCAAGAGAATTTTCAATTTTACTACCAATTGAATGAATATGTCAAGTGATAGTTGACAAATCAAAATGAGCAATATATGTCTTGTGCCTGAAACGAATATACTATTTAAAATTTAAAACGGTAACGACAAACGTTCAATTCCATAAGTGATATTTTATATTACTACAAGAGTAATATTCACACTAGTTTTAGATTTGGCGATGAACGAAGTATAAAGTCGTGTCGTTCGTCATGTTAACCTCACCACAATGTCTTGTATCTTCACACTTATCTCCTTACTTACATGAAATCCCCCTATGTTTGTTATAATATCCGTAAATAAAATGGAGAACCCCTCTAACATGATATATTCGATATTTGGTATCAATATCGGTGTAAAATAACGCATTGAAGTCATTTTAATCCCAATGGAGAGAAAATTACTGTCAGGCGTTGGCGTTAGAATGTCCCTAAAGAGTGGGAGTACAACGTTTTGCATTTAATAAAAAAAATAATGCATGATGTATTATCAATGTCAAACTTTGACAAAAGTCTTATAAAATGATATGATTCATGCTGTAACAATATAAATTACCTACAACTTTTCAGGAAGCATTTCATGCTTTGTCTATTCCTCTACAACCACTGCCTGTACGCAAGTATATTCGGTCGAATTAATTGTTATTTTTACACGTTTTTTCAATAAATAAAACTTCTAGATAAGTAAGTAATATTTACTAATATAAGCAAAACACTACCGTGTTCATAAACAACGATGATATAACGTACTTATCTTACTCAAATGGGTGATGTTGTGGGCATAATGTCTATGTGTATTGTCGGTGATGATTTGAATTTTACTCTAGCTTTTAGTTCGTGGTCCATGCTTGACCCAGGTTATTTTTGTTAAGGAAAGATGTTGTTATTCTACAGCCCCGGAGAAAAGTGGTTGTTCACAATACATGGATTACTAAAAAATCAAATCATTATCGATCTAAAACTACATTTAGTTCAATACAATTTTGGGCAATTTAATCACATCAAATTTTAATGTTACGGCCGTTTGTGTTACTGTTATAAATGTTCATCTAATCGACAAAAATTGAAGCATTTTTTCTGAACCTAACAGGAAAAAATTAGTTTTCCCAGTACCGGGGTATACGCTACAAGAAGATTCAAACAAATGCTATTCATGGCAACTGCATCCATTTTTCCATGCGCGACACGAAACGAGAAAAATTCGAAAAAGAAAAATTGCTGTGGGTATTATAAAATGGGTATTATAAAACTTTACAACAACAGACTGTTATAACTTGTTTTGGTTAAGTTAATACTCAAAGTCAAACGTTAAGTCAGTTTTGCACTTATTTACAAGTATACCCGAGCTATTTTTACCACTTTTTTGCATTGAGCTCGCCACATTTTGAATTAGCGAATCGTCCATTACTTTACGATATTTATTTTTCTTAGCGATAACCGATCTGATATCTCGTACATAAATAATTCTCCATTACAAACTCCCACGTGAGGTCTGAATGGAATTTGTTGTATGCCGTTTCAATCAATTATTTTATCATACTGTATAGGCAAACCATACTAGAGTAAGGATAATATGCTTGTTATGTCAAGAGATTATTCTTGCTGATGTCCAGCACGCAAGTACTTGTATCTCTTTGATTGAAGGACATTATCTCACAGAAAGGTGTGATACCAGAATACAAAACGTGCCGGTACCCGGTACCGTGTTAAGATTTATAGCTTTCATCTACATGCATCTATTCACTGAAGATCAGATGTCACGTACTGTATAGGCATTGTATTTCATTCCGAATTACTGACTACTGGTCAGTCGAAGCCAAATCCAACGACTTATTTTTCGTTAGATTTGTGAGGTGAATTTTATCCGTTTATCAAAACAACTTGCATTTTTAAAATCAGGTTTTGGTTCCCCAGGTAGGTAAAACTAAAAAAACCAAAGCTAAAAATTTAATGATCAGCTTGTATATACATACAAATCCACACAAAACTATGTAGTAGGTATTCATTACTTAATATAATTCAATAACAAGTGGGTTGTTATAACTTTAATGCACAGGTAATCCACTCCCAAACAAAATTTCTACAAGGGTGAACTATTTAATATTAATAATATTTGAACTGATTCTTTGTTTAGTGATGTTAAGACATTTACGTCACTAGACTTGGCGTGAGATGAGCCTGACTGCAATTCATTATTGACGAGTTTCCTTGACTATGGGTCATGGCTGGACTGAATCGAAGAGACATTTCCCGTACATTCATACTACATAGCAGATGTAAAACGAAGATATTTGTCATCAATATAAATTATCCGAAGCACTTGAACACGAATGACGTGCTCACGAATGACGTGAATGAATATATGAAGCGTGTAGGGCAGCTCAATGACATGCGCAAAACAAACAAAAACAATCACAGCGTAGATGAAGCATTTTTGATGTAGTCGAGAAAGGTTTTGGTACAGCGATTCGGTGTATTTCATTCTGAAAACATTTTTGGGTTCACTATATTCCAAAATAAAAAATCGCGTGACAGTGTCAAGAAATGTTTTTAAACAAGCTTTTCAAACATTTTGAAATGAATATTATACCGAAGTCAAGTCAAAAAGCCCGTGAAAATGATACTCCGGTCAGAGATCTGATCATGTCCAACCAAATTTGAGAGGTTTTTGTTGATAAAAACGTTTTAAAATTGTAATATGCACTTTGCTTGGCCATTAACGTACGGCTTATTGAGTATGGTGCGTCAAACGGGCGGGGAAAACCGCTCATAAACTTTAATGACGTCATAATGTAAACATCGTTGAACTTGAAGGAGAATTGGCATGAAATTATTCCAGAAGGTGATCGATTTCACGTTCAGTAAAATTTTGTAAAATTTTCTCAATTTCGTACTTATTGACGAAATGCCAGTCAATATTCAAAACAAAATCCACACAGTACTTTAGTGCTGCTGATCCCAGCATGTAAATTTGTAAAACGAAACAAATGTAAGACAAAAATATTTCCGATGACTCAATGTTAGAAATCATGGTCGAAATAAAGAACCAACATCCTTTGGATATGTTTGCACAGAGGTTTATAATTGTTTGTACAAATACCATAAGTGAACATAAAATATGACAGGTATTTTCTCATGTTCTTCAATACCAGTTACTGAGAATATTATATTCGCTCAGCTGATTTATATAAAGTTTCTTTAAAAATTAGAGCATCTTTATCATAGAAGCATCAAATATTTATCAATGTACTGTTGTTTGAATAAAAATATTAAAAATCATCGTTTAAAGATGGGTACCTTGGTTTATACGATCGCACTGTATTTTTAAATAAAATACACATTCACTATTCAATTTACGCAAATCCATTGGTGGTTACGCTATTCTTGTCTTATATCTGAAACGTAACTCAAACTTGGATGCTAAGATTAACCTCGTCAGAAACAAATAAATGCAATCGTTTTTATACACACCGACGTCGCCAATTAAAGCTCGTAGAACCTTGGAAAAACTCTGTGAAACTTTGTGAAAGAGCTCTGTGGAAAGAATCAAGCGTTTAAAAAAAATATCTAGGAAAGTAAAAAGATGTAAAATTATAATATGAATCTGTCTAAATAATGAGGCACATATAAACTTTTTTTATTATCTAAATTGATGGCTATTGCATTTCCTACAATCGTACAAGATACGGAATTCGGAAGATTTAATTCGGGTTAATTGAAGTATATATTTTTGTTTATTATTTTTGAGCTATTTATTGCCACGGAACGACTTTTATTGCCAGACTTCGTTCGCTCTGTATATGATATTGCGTAAATTCACATATATTGGTGTCTTTGTTTTTTACGAGTTTCGAGCCCGGTCATTATACCCACATGGTATATATTTCGTATGTCACTACCTACAAATATTCGATGGTTTGGAAGCATATATATTTTGCGATATACATATTAACCTCAAATTTTCTTGCTCGCTATCAAATTGATCGTGCGCCAAAATCCTAATATATATCGCGATTTTGTCGTTTTTAATATCAAACCACGGTTTGTAAAACTTCAATTTGATTTGACCAAGCCAACGCAAAAAAAATTTAGGAATTTTTGCTCAAGTGCGCATTCTAGCGTGAACAAAGATCTTTGCATTGGAAATGTTCACTCGGAGTTTTGACAGGGATTAGCTCACTGTCAGCACCATTTCGTAATAGCTAACAATAATCCAAAATTAAACTGTAGTATGTTACATCTTCATTTTGGCCTGTAACAAAAAATCTAATTAACGAAAAAAAAATTCCCACGATATGAAGATTTTGAAACGAGCAATCTCTTATTACCAAAAAATGAGTAATGTATCTCTGACGAATTCGCATTATACCTCATTATATATTATAGTACGGAATTATAAAAAATACGTATACAGAAATAATACAGAAAAAAAAAATGGATATTTGGGATTCCATAATTTGAGTATAACTTGTGGTTGGTAGTACGCTTTAAATTTCGCAATATCTCCCAATAACGCTATATGGGTCACCAAATATTTCTCTTCGTGTGCTTTGGTATTTTGCACTCTTTTTAAAACTCACATGTCATATTTGTATATAATCCAAGATATACAAAGTGGGAAGATACTCAAAAGCACTTATTTTATTTTGTATTGTATTTTCTCCGATGAGCGAGCAAGAATTTCATTTGAGTAGTAGTGAGCGGATTTCAGCTGATTAGCTGCAATTGTCAACAATCTTATAAAATCGTTTTGCGTCGGAATTACGTCGCGTGTATTCAAAGAACACTCAAACTGGGAAGTCACAGCTTAAGCTGACTAGACTTTAGTTCTTCTGGTGCTTTTTTTCATAATACCAAGTTTATGTCTTCCATACCTCGTCACGACATATCTCACCGATTTGACGAATAATATTTACACTTCCTGTAGGATCCAAGACAACGATGTTGAAAGTAAAAGAAGTATTAATTAGGCTATTGAACCTCATTCAGGAATTGGACTGGTTTGTTTATGTAAATTTGTGAATAAAAATATAATTCATGTCCACCAATAATTCAACTTTTTATTTCATTTCGTGAAAAATTCTCTTATAGTTATCTGACAGTGTTATCGAAAAGCTCCCATCAACTGTTGTCTTTAATAAAAAAAAAAACTTAAAAAAAAGTTAGAATCACAAAATAATGACATCCAGCAATGATATTTAAAAAGTCGGAGCTAACAAATAATTGAAGTGTGCAACAGACTTTTGAATCACGTGAAATATTCATCTTTATATCATCATTATATAAATATATATGAATTCACTAGCGCAAAGACCTAAATATGGGAAGGATAAGTTGTTAGTCTCGCACATACAGAACTAATAATAAACTTTAATTACCACAGATTTAAGATAGTTTCCATTATTTCTTCGTTCACTATACTACTCCATGGTAATAAGCTTTCCATACATTATATTCTGGGTTTCGAAAGTATTTTCTACGTGTGTCTGACTAGACAATCTTTAAACGTGACAACATTGAGTAATATACTAATCTTGTGTATTGAAAACATTTATTAAAACACTTATACTCGGAAGTTGATTACAAGTTTAATACCATAAATAAGTTAATGATCTTGAATCTAATGGAACATAATTATATGTTTTCAAGTGGTATTAGTGAAATCTACATTGGGACGATTTAAACACGTGATATGGATATACTGCCTCTCTTCTATGTCAATTAATATTTAGAAAGGTAGTGGGGAGTTCCAATGGAGAGTGACAGTTCCTAGCTTCATTTATATCAATAAAATGCTCCCTGACACGTGTTATTATGTTGTTGTTATTCTCGTTGGTATTTTTCTTCCCATCGTTATGAAAAAAATCGATTTTCTCTTTTATTACTGGACCAATTACTTTGTAATTTTCGTTGGTTCAGGATTGTCTTTCGTGTCCATATATTTGAGCATTGCTCTTTTATCTTTTAATAATTTAAGAATTTCCAGTGAAAACAAAAATCCCGGATAGAAATTAGGAAACATGGAAGTTAACAATTGTCCAAGTATACTGTACTTGTATATCTCAGGGGTGATAAGTGAGCAGAATCTTCCCGGCTACAGTCAAATTAGTACATCCTAGTTGAAATAATGAACGCGTTTAATGTATAGATCCTAAGCTGTTGAGATTCGTAAAGAACATTTATAGGCATATTGCATTGCGAAATTCGTGAAATGAACTTTGCTAGTGAATTTTCGCGTCCTTGAATCGGTTATACTATTTTATGTCTTAAACCTCGTTCTGACTGTAATTCCAACAGATGCTGTTTTTCTAAAAATATCTAAATCTGGAATTTATATTGAGTTTGTCGATATATCAATTATACTTTAGTAAAATCACTAAGCAACCTCCATCATTTTTTTCCGTCTCGTGATTGGGTTCCCAATGGAATAATTTCGATATTCCATGGATCTTATCGATTGTCGCAAAACTTGACGCTTTATATTTTGACTCATGAAAATATTGTTATCAACTATCGGAGTTGACTGTTGAAAAAACTCCAAATTTATCTAGTACGTACGTGTGGCCAAATAAGAACATTACATGAATAAATTTGGATTTTGACATCCCGTATTTTACGACAACAAGCGATTAGATGCAGATTATGTCGAAAAACGTGGAATCCATTAAAAGCCACTCACAGCTAATTGCGAGTTGTCATTGGGATTATGTGGACCCAGGGGAAAAAGAAGGAAGAATTGTCAGTGCGAATGTCAAGAGCAATGGATTTAATTATTGAGCGTCGGGTGATAAAAATGAGCTAATGGACAGAGAAAGTGTCAGACTTTGCATGACTTTGGCGAGGAGTGCAACTGAGAAAACACTCTAGTGCAAACACTAGTTTGAAGGTTTTATTCTTCAAAATTTTATTTTTATTTGATATTTTCATGAGGTAATTTTGGAGTTGAACAATAGGATGAAATTACACAGAAAGGTCTTTGTGATAAGATTTTTCTAGTAGCTAGCAATAGATATGCGATGTAACACGACGTAAGGATCTGTAACGAATAGAGGCTCTAGAGCTAATGAGCATGAAGTTCAGAAAAAAGTGCCGTAGTTGTATTGAATACACTTGTCAGTGATATTTCCGCTGTTTTGGGCCTGATAGGTGTCAAATTTTACACAAACAGAAAAAAATATGATTGAAATATTCTTGCCTTATAGGTGTGTAATTCTATTGCTCTCGCTTTGTTTCGGCTACATTATTTTCAACGTTTCATTTGAACAACACAGTGCACCATTGTTTTTTTCTGCGGTTAATGTCGGTTCGCTATATAATTTAAAGAGGTATGCATTGCGGGTGACAAAGAATCCAACTATACACAATTCTTTGCCGGAATCTGTAATTGGATCAAGTGTTTAATTGGATATGGTGCGTTATCCGGCCAGAACTTTTTATATCGCTGATGCTCGCCGGCGAAAATAGGTCGAAAAAAATAAATAAATGTAATTAATTTATAGGCTGATTAATTCTAATTTCTAGTTATGATCGTATTTTTGTCGTTGTATAGTTAAAATAATGAAAATTATTAAAAATCGGCTTTTTTATTATTATTTTCGGTTGACAAATATATTTATATACTTTGACACAGTCTGCCGTCCGAGGCGTATCGACCTATCTGTTAGGCATCTGTGTTAAATTTGTGGGCAGATGTTAAATTGGGGAAGACGCGTGATCGCTTGCGCTCAACAGGCGCACGCGTTTAAGCGAAACGTTTAACACCATATACTCTCGGACCTTGAAAAAAGCATATTTCATATCTGCTTATTTAATTTAACATTGATATTTCTAATATTTTATGAATTTTCTGTATAGTTTATTGTAGTCGTGACTGTCACATATACCGTGGTTTAAAAGAAATGTATGTGATATAAAACCACTCAATACTGATAAATTTTTAATCTTTGTTTAATCATTTATAATGAACCTTTGTTTAGTTATGAAATAAAAGGGGAAGTCATTAAGAGGAGTAGTAAAACGCTACACAAATAATTTTATGTCAAGTTGTATTCATCATTATATTATGCAATATTTCAATATTTTTATGGATATTTTGAAGTATGAGCAATCGCCATATTTATTATTAAAAAGACTAGAACGCTAGCAATATGCTGCGTCAAATTTTGTCGCGCGCTGAACGATGAATACAAACAGTTTAGTGTCATAGACGTAAATAAAGCATTAGACCTATCGTATCACTATTACAGATGGTCAGCGGCAATACTTGCGGAATCAAGTCAATAGAGCAGCAAGTGCGTTCGTTTACATTTTACGTTAAATATAAAGCGGGCAATTTTACTATCTTTTACTATCTAGTACTTATCTATAACTCACAGATGGATAGCGCCTTACGTTATATCTCACAAATATAAACCATGCTTGATGATTGGTCAATAGTTTGATCAGATTGAGGTATTACATGTCAGGTTTGAACAACAGCAGTCCTGTTTGGCGCGTGGCACCTGTCGAACGTTGAAAATAAAAGATAGTGATAGTGATATGTTTTGTATTTAATAGGACTGTTCAATGAGATTGTGGTTTAGTACAGAGACAAGAATCTCAACGAAAGATAAATTGATGTGGGCTGGAAAATTAGAGCTCGCCAGTGGACTATTCAGTGGGTGGAATTCTACATTTCAATCTCCGAATTGGAATAATATAACAGGGCCCAAAAATTGACCCTGAACTTTATTGAAAAGTCAACTTAGTCATACATAATTTTTCATTCAAAAACAGGTAATTTTAGCCTATATCAAATAGTTCTAAGCTATTCCTGCATCTTACAAGATGCATACTTTATACGTGTTATTTTCAACTGTAATCATCGGTTGTGTTTTCTCCGAACAACACGGAATCAACTATTTTCAAAATCGACTGAAAAGAAGCATTCATAAAAATGTAGCAACAAGAAGCTGTTTTGACGAGTTTGAAGTTTGTCGAAAAAATCCGAAATGTCGAATTGCATTGATGGGACTTGATGATAAATGCAAAGTAAGTATAAAACAGGTTCACGTTTGCAAGCACTTCGTAATATATAAACGAAACCAATATATTATGCAAAATCAATATCAATGAAAATTAAGATAGATCGTATTTTTGGCGTTCCAGGAGTGTGTGCACCAATATAGTGGTAACTAATTTTTTTCGCCTACTTTACATCATATTGTGTAAAAAGACTGAAGCCTAACACAGACAGTCCCCGAACTCGTAATAGAACTAAAATAAGGAAAATCGGTATAAAATTATGGCCTGACCCTAACCTGATACACACACTACGAGAGTACAGTATTTTTTTATTAAACGCATTAGCTTTTGTCTGGCTTTCGACTCTGTTTCGGTATATTTTCGTTTAATATTTAGAAAAAAATAATTCAATTACCATCTCTCCTAGAAAATCTGATCAATGTATAGAGTAATTTATATAAATTACGAGCTTAAAACAATCTTCTTACAAAGATTGAAAACATTACTTGTCGACTACAGAATATTTTCAGCACTTGTGTAATCGTAATATAGCAAAAACACCCATGCCATACCCCTTACCACATATGAGACATATCATAAAGCTAAACAAATATTTCAAAAATTGTAGTGATCTCTAAGTATTAACCAGGTCATAAGTTTCACTTTACCAAAAGTTTGCCATAAAGTGTATAAGTATATAAACATAACAAATTTCTTGTTTCTTCGTGCGATATGCTATATCTAGTATAAAGATTAATTTTGAAAATAACTATTTGTATCGTATATTACCACATATTTATTGTATTATCTGATTTATGTACTACCAGTCTGCCCGCAATATCAGTTGTTTATTTTAACTAATCCATGATAATTTTAAGCACGTAAAAGTTAGATAAATCTTGATTAGATAAATTGTAGCATTCCCGTTCAGGACGGTACAACATGGCCCAGACGGTGGATTTGAAAGTTTTGATAGGTTTGCAGGCGTGTGAGGTATGTCCTAGCCGTGCCATCAATGTTGTTTAATTGGCTAGTTATAGAAGATTTGACTTTTTTCTTTCTTAGGTGGTGTCTGAACGTTGCAGCGCTGAGATGGTTGATCTTCCCAGATGTGGTCAAATAATGGATCATCTTTTTCAGTATGGATTTCCGCAAACAAAATGTAACTGTGATCAGGTAGCTAGTTTAATTTTGATTTTAAATCTGAATCGACCTTAGAATATTAAAAAAACATTCCGTCCCTAAATGGGCCGATCTAAAAACTAATCTTAAATTGCTCTTTTTCTTAAAAACAGAATTCAGAAGAATGTAACAAACTACATGAAAAGATTTACAACAATCCTTGTTTCGGTGAGTTATTTTTTTTTTAAATTATATCTCTACGTATTTTTTGTCAGAAGTTGTTTAATTCGTCCCTTTGTATCTATTAAAATTATTGAGTTTTATCAAAAATATGAATATGAAAATCATCTCTTCACACCGCAATTGGTTTTGAAATTAAATTGAGAAGGCCAACCAAATGTAGACTGCAGCAGCTATCCGCGATGCTGTAAAAGTTGTGTGTCGCATTCGCATTTTATTGTTTACTGAAACAACAAAATGTAAGAAAAAATACAAAAATGACTCCGTTACATGATTTTATTCAACCAGAGCGATTAGAAGGGTAAATCGGCTTAAAGACGAATATTTTGTCATGGCCTTTGACCTTTTCGACTTATCAATCGGTTTCCAAAAACTTTACGAACGAAATACGATAGTGAGGTCCTTCGTTTAATCCATGTCACAGCTAAGTTAGTTATGACAAATTATAGGCCGATCAAAAATTTTGCGATTCATATAACTATCATGCTCAATCATGGATAATCTAGTACTCGATTTGAAAGCATGGAATTTAATCTGCCGTAACAAGGGAACCACTGTAGCGCGAAAAAGGCGGGAATTGATATGGGTCCCAACCGCAACATAACTGAAACTTAATATCGGTACCAGGTTCTTACTGTACTCTTAACCTAGCAATAAATAGCATTAATGTTTTTGAACACGACGCGGGCTGAAACTATTGTTGTTATTGTTGTCGAGGCTGCTCTATAACTTGAGTGCCGGATTTTTCATAAAAAAAATGCTTTTTAATTCACTAATTGAATCCATATAAAACAGAGACTGTTACATACTCTATATCTCACGATTGAAGATATAGAAATTTTAAGGGTTATCTGAATGAAGAAACCCAATTCAATCCCGAGACTGGGATCTCTCAAACGGGCCGTTTGAACCCCCGAAAAAAATCTAATCTTTGTTGCTCAACACTCTTTCTATTATCAAATTACAAATGATTTACCTTTTTTATACATTTTTTTTACAGGATCTATTCGACATTTGCGAAAGCTAAATATATTTCCAAAAGAAGGTGGGTATTCACTATTCAATACATTATTTATCGTTTTTCAATTTTAATTTACAAAATTCTAGTAAAGTTGTGAAATTCTACTTTTGGTTTTCCTCTCAAGACAGTTCAAGTTTAATTTTATTTACATCATAAATAAATTTATCATCATAATGAATGTTTAAATCGGGTTTCTAAAAATCCCAGTTACAGTTATCTTATTTATTTATCTTTTACAGTGAATGCATACGACGCCGCAAAAGGATTTGAAACAACCACAACTTCACCAGTTCGTGTTACGTCACAAAGTAACGTTAACATGAAATCGGGAATCGCTGGCACAACCCAAAAAGAAACAACAATGTCGTTTTTTGATGAGGTTTTCGGCGGAAGAAAGTCTACTCATTCCGAATATCAAACACAATCCAATATCTCTGGGGAGATGATTACTTCTAGTCCATTTGCCAAAAACAAATCTCGTAGAAAAGACAATGTCAAACGTCATCAAAGAATTGCAAATTCTCGGATAAAAGTCGGCGTAATGTCTTTCGAAAAACCAAAACTGGGTCAGAACGTTGCTGCTCATCAACCAACAATGACGACAACTGCTTTATTGAAGAGTACAATAGTTCCCAGGAGGCATGTCAAAACATCAGAGGGTCGCAATGTTGAACTGATGCGCGAAAATAAAGGTTATTGTCATTCCTGATTTGATTTGTCTGCTTAGTAATCTCAAGGGTATCTTGTATATGTACAGTAATTGTTCCAAGAATAATTCCACAACTTGCTCTCAGATTTTAGGTTTTGATCTCCCTGTCATTTCTAAGATATATAGGTTAAAGACATGTGCAAAAATGTCACAAACTTACCGGCACTTGAACAAAATATAGAAACCAGGATGTTTTATTTTTTAAATATTCTTACAGTGTTTGCAACGTTTGAGATGAAAGATAACAAAGGACGCGTTGAAGTCAAGATTCCAACTGAATACGAATGGAAAGAAGAAAATACAGACTTCAGTAAGTTGTCCGGAATAACAATATGTGTGCGTGTGTTTTGACGTAATTTTGATGCGACAGTCGTAAAAATTATTTAAAAATGGGAAACATATGTAAAAATGTAATTTTCTTTTTATTATATGGCGTAATATTTCAATTAAATAAAATAAATGATGAAATTCCCCAATTATTCCGACAGACTACTTCAAATAAATATGTTCTATCCACAGACGCAGCAATGTCGTCTATTATTTTTCAATTTTTTTAACACATACCACTGCATATCATACATTATCAGTTTTTCTGATTCGTTTCTGCCATTATTTAATACTGACCATACTCAACCACAGAAGTTTGTTGTGTATTGCGGCATTTTTGTTTCCAAAGATACCGAAAAGTACTTTTGAATTAAAATTCTTTTATTTCTTTACAGAAGCAATTGCTATCATTTTTGGAATATTGCTTGGAATGTTTATGATTGCTGCGATTGTACTTTTCATTTGGACAAGGTAAATATTATACAGTAAAACATTATTTCGTTTCTTGGATTTTATTGGCGTTTTTGCTGTTGACTGTCCTATACTCACATCCATTTTGTTTTGCGAAATTTGCTTTAGATGCGATCGCTCTAAAAACGTAACTTAGTCTGCTCCTCACAGACGACCGTAAACAGGTCCGACGCAAGGAAACCTGTAGGGGTTTTCGTTGACTAACAAAGGCAGTGAAAACAATGCCGTGAGAGTATGTTTTCAATGTATCCTATAATAGTGCGATTGGTAAATCGATACCAGCTCATTGGGTAGATCGGGTAATTGATGGCAAGGCTAAACCAAACATCCAAACAAGATATAACACAGAACCAACTTTGGCAGATTTGATGCTCATTTTGCAAAACACCTTCAAAGAGTAGCATTCGTTAACAGTAATAGTATGTTCCTATACAATCACGTTTTTAAAAAGAATATTTTTATTAAACCTGCATTGCAGAGAGAAATATAGTAAGAAACATGCAAGAAAGCTTTTGTTTTTGAACAACCGAAACTCGATAAATTTAGTTGTGATCAATTTCGATCTCTTTTATTGTGATTTCGACCTACTTTTAATTTTTATTTTATTATTATGAAATGATTCAAACACGCTTTTATCCGGCACGGATATAATGTGACCGGTATTGAGTGACTTTTGGTCTTATTGTTTGACTAAATTGAATCTTTTCAGCAGTATTTTAAATAGCTCTTCTTTTGTAATTTGATAAATATAGTATTACATTTTATGGTCACTGTGTTGGCGCCTTGTAAACATCTCCAGCTATACAAAACGTGTTGTCCAAAATGGCGCCTCAAATCTTGCATTGAAGATAATCAAGTGATATGAATATAATTTATAAATTAATATTAAGTTCAATATGTGCTTAACTTCTTGGAATCCCGTATTAAGATTGGTATTGTTCTATGGCAAAATTTGTTATACTTGCGTGATTAATATTCTCCGTCTTAAACATCTCGTCTGTTTAATTCAATGTTTTATGTCAATTTTAGGACGAAAAAGTCGATTTTTCATAAACGTGGAAAATTAGTTCAAGAAAATTCTCGAGATGAAGTACCAGATCACAATTTCTCGACAAATAGACTTTATAATAACAATCACCGACTTAACGTATGAAGAAAAGAGAATAGTTATTGAAAAATTAGGGAAGGCAAACCTGACACTCCCTATTGCAAGTTATACAGAAACGGAAATTAAAAAAGAACTTGGCATCAAGACATGGCAATAAATAGTACTATGTATAAACAAGCGAATTGTATGAGTATATTATTCAACTGTAGGCTACTACCATTATTTCTTCAATTTATTTGTATGGTTTTCCCAAACTAACAAAGTCTTAACGTAAAACCCTCAATGTAACAATTCAAATATTATTTGTTGATACTGATAACATTCTACAATATTATTTATTATACTCTACTCAAACACTGTCAATAGTCTATCTTAGACTTGCATCACACATTTATTATTTCTCGCTATTTTAAATTTCTAAACCCAATTCCTACGAACGGTTTTGCGATTATACTCGAATATCTTTCTATTTTCATATTCCTACCTGTTTTACTGCGCATAAATGTGACTTCTAAAATCATTGCAAAGTAAAGAATATTAATTTGAATACTGAGTGAGAATCATTTTGATTGGGTTTTGAGTGGAACAGAAGTATATTACTTCATTTATGAGTGCATGGTATCCTCAATTACGTTTCCGAATGAGTCGCACATTATGACTTTATGTATTATTTATTTGTTATTTTTTTTTACTTTCTTCAGGTTTAGTGCAATACAGTGTTTCTTTTTTTACGTTTTAATAAAAATTATTCAAAGCACTAAATCATGTTTTAATTTTGGAGGAATACATTTAGTTTCTCTCACACACAGGTAATAGGTAATAACTCAAAAAAGGAAAATTAAAATAAAGCACTAATATCTGAATATGATGATTAAATTTAAGAATGTGAATTTAAGTATTTCATTATAAACATCCTATGGGATTGAAAATTAGTAAAATAGGATGTTAACGAATAAGAAGAATTAATCTTACCAATGTGCTTTTTGATAATTCAGCATATGCAGACGATATCCAATGAGAAATTTCGCTGTTCTGTCTTTTAGCAATACAGCAAGCACACTAATAGAGGAACAGAATATATATACACTAATCAGAATATATCTTTTTTTGGATATTAAAAAATTTGGTGACCGGTTGAACTTTGGATTGGACATAATATTTAACTCCATTCGTTTTCAGTTTGATGGGGGTATGAGTGAAAACCATGTTGTTTGTTTTAAATACAAACAATTATTAATTTTGTTTAAGATGCTAAAAGATATGATAAAACAATAACACCGTGTTGCCTGCGAGAAAGGGTCGCGTGTCAAAACGACAGCTGGAACTCGACTTACAGACTAATATTGAGCCTACTGTTTACCCCATGTCTCTTCAAAACATTTTGTATTCTGCCAAATTTAATACTCAAATAAAATCGTAATGAAATTGTGTTTATATATGGCAAATGTATGATGTTTAAATTGTCGAATTCTTTGGTACGGGTGGATCGAAAGTAACAGAATTAGCGTATAATTTTCAAATCGATCGATTAAGTGACTAATGGAGTGGATCCGAATCCATGAAAGGGCATCTGAAACGGCAAATATTTTCTGAATGACCGACCATGGCAGAATGCAGATACGTTAATCATGTAGAGTATGTTCAACGGCGCGAAACGTTCAAGTTTTAGAATCTAATAGAGAATTAATTATTTCGCGAAATATGGATTGACGCGCTGACGCAATAAATGGAACTATCCGTTAACTCCAGTACATACACCGAAACTTTCGGAAAATTTAACGGCACCCGTCGTCAAGCGTGATAGCACACATAAAAAAGTTGATAATTTTTTTTAATGGAATTGTAGATAAATTTACACATCTCTGATGAATAATACCTATGACTGATTAATATTATATATCGGTTCTCGGTGTTACTGCGCAAAGAAGAAAACTTCATGAACATTTTTGAAGCGTCTTCTCAATATTTACCAACATTCGCTGTTGCTAATAGAGTTGAAAATTTGGTAACCACAATATGATCGCTCTATACACAAGGCCAAAACATTCACTAATTTCAGGATGTTGTTATTTGGTATGCATTTTTTAGTGTCTTCAATTAAAGTAATTACCCATGTCCGTCACCACAAATTTTCTGATGTATTGTTGAAATCCATACATCCTTCGTACAAATGTTTTACAAGTCTGACCTGTATGACAATCAATGTCAATGTCCCGATCTGGCTATTAGAAACTGGAATTAAGCGGTTGCAATCAGCGGCACGAGACCGCTTAATTAACGGTTTTCACATTACGTCTGTCACACACAAAGAACGTCTGCAGCGTCGCGAAGCGCGTCGTCCACTATACCGGCGTGGGAAAAACGCGCACTCGGTACATTTGAGACGGGTTTGCCTCTGGGAAAGCACAGTCTGTCGCAGAGTGCCGTGTAAGGCCTGGTGGTGCCTTGTTGTTTTTATACTCATTTAATTTATTGAAGATTTTTATTTTGAAGTTTGCTAACCATGGCCGTTAAAATTCGGAACGTATATTTGATTCTGGTTGCCATTTATTCGGATCTAATTCAAATATATATATATGTTGTAATGATTCCGCTTACGCTAATTGGATTCCATATCCAAGTGACGCAATGCGATAAAAATCTTGGCAGCGAACTTCCTATTGTGCAGGCGTCTTGCGGTTTTCAAATGCATTATATTGACAGCCATTTTTAAAATGGGAGTAGTCAGTGACGGTCGATAGACAGTTGTCAGATTTAGCTGTAGAGCAGTTGAGTAGCACAGAAAATTCTAAAAAAAAATCGCCTAACGACACTTTGAATATTTCTTTCAGTTCAAGTATTTCTGTGTATTTGAATAAAAAGAAAATTGATTCAATATGTTTTATGATTCCAATAAACCGCCGAATATCGGGACTGGGATATAAGCATGTCAACCGACATACTGTTTTCTATTATTTTGTTTGAGCAAACATGGAGTGAAGTATGAAAAAAATCAGCGATTAAACTTCAAAGATTTCTAATTTTAAAGCAAATTTACAGACATAGCGAGACAGAATCGCATTCTGACAAGGATCATTTCTTTTTATCGCTGAACAGCTGTGGATGAATATTTGTATCAATGGTACAGATGGCTGACAGCAGCGTGCCTCAGCAAAGCGTAAAAATGGGTCTTGTGCCAAATTTTCTTATTTTGTGTGATATAAAAATGTAAGTTCGGAAAATAAAACGCGCCGCCGTTATATTTGTGCAACGGCTGGAATATCTAGAAGTAGTAACCGCAGCGCTTGTCAGGCTAAAATCTGTGTTAACGATTATAGGAGGTAAAATGTCTTCAGTCGATACGACAGTAGAATTCAATGGCTAATTCCAATATTGTCCTATTGCTAATGAATCTTGGTAACACCAAGTATGGAGAAGAACGTCGCGAATGACATATATTTGGCACCTGTCCTTCGTATCAGATCACACGATATTCACGTGGGATTGGGAATACAGTCGCGGATCGAGAAGTACGAATAAGTGTGGCGATAATTAGTTAGAATTGAAGCTAGACAGACAAGTCAGCAAGAATTGAACTCATACTTTATTTTTGGTATCCAATACTTTAAATAAATGAATTAAATATATAGTTTTTCTATGCCTTATATAATAATATAGGAAATGGAGTTAAAACTGAACTAATCTTCAATTTTTCACCTTCGTGAAAATGTGTTTTTATTCGTTTATTTATGATCAGAACTACTTTTTTGCAGATTGCCTAAAAAAAAGAAAATACAAAATGAAAATTACGTCTATAGTTTTATTCCTTCATCCATTTTTGCTATTTGTTACTACTTTTGCTGAAAATGAAAAAAGTTTTTCTGGAAAGCAAGCTCGACAAGATGACGGAGACTCTTCAATAAATTGTTTGAAAGCGTTTGATGAATGTAGAGCTGATCAAAGTTGTCGAACAGCATTACATGGATTAAACAGAAAGTGCAAGGTAAACTTTTGTTTGTGGCCAGAAGCAAAGCGCGGTATATTTGACCTCGTAAACCTCGTTTTTCATTTTATTTTTCTAATTCTCACAATTGTACTATATAATATACGCTATATTTTGTTGTGAATTTTGCCACCCATGGTTCAAATACGGTACGGTAATTACAATTGGTCCAGACTGTGTATCATAGTTCCCACGAGAAGATATCGTATAATCATCATGTAATCCTTTTCAAAAGAGATATTCACACGAACGCAATTACATAAAGCGTCACTGGTAAGAACGGAAGAAGGAAACAATAAACGCACTACAACAGATTTGTAGCGAAAGTCAGGGGTCTACCGGATGTTGGATTATGGATATAAAACGCTGATTTCACCATGAGAACTAATTTAATAATACTTATAGAACAAAAATATGAAACTAAACTCTAAATAGATTAAACTCTATTAATAGAAATATCAATGATTCCTATTTGAAAGCTTAATTTGTGGCGGATATTTTCCCGTAAAACTACGATTTTCGGCTAATTTCAAAAGATGATAATTTTTGAGCTACTAATATTTTACAAAATGTAACTTTTCGTTACGAGACATAAATACGTTTTGTATCAAATTTGACCCCATAACAGTTTTCTATAATCCTGTTTAAAAACTATCAAAACTTATCAAAAACATAGAACAGAGCTACTTACTCAACTAGCGGACCGCGGTCCGAATCCGGACCTTTCGAGTATTTGATTCGGACCGCACCTAATTACTTATCGATCTTAAGATCGGTAAGAATGTTCGTTTGTTTGTCTGTTAGATACATGCGATATCTCACGAAAGCGAGGATGAATTCGCTCCAAATTTTGCATATGCATTCATCACATCTCGGATCAGGAGCTTATTGATTTTGGATGAATTATGTCGTATAATTAGCGAGTTATGAATTAATTAGTGATGGGACACAAGGTGTCACTATTGAGTAAGAGCGCTGTTTTGGGGGATACCCTAACTTTCGATCGATAAGTCTTCGGTCTCTGGCCGATATTCTCGTTATTTATTTTGGATCATTAGCCCCACTTTTAAAGTTTCATTTTATAAAATGACTTTTATTGATTTGGATATATATGAAAAGAACTATAACACCATAATAAACAAGATGATTGATTAGCTGATAATCATTAGCCGGTCGAGAGGGTGCGCGTTTAAGGATGCCGAAATATAATTTCGGGAAACACCGGACCTAAATAATGTGATTATTCATCGTCTCTCTGGTCATCGTAGTGGTAACATGCGCTGGATGTCAAATTAGGGAAAATACTTGTTTAACAAAATCCATACAGATGATCATTATTGTAACTACTAGTTGAAGTAACGAAGTTACGAATTTCTTGTATATTACTAAAATTTCATTTAAATACTAGCCGATAATATTTTATCAAGGTCATATAGGTTGATTATAATTTTAACGTTTTTTTGCCTGTAGGTTGTTTCTGAACGTTGCAGTGCTGAAATGGTTGATCTTCCCAGATGTGGACAAATTATGGATCATCTTTTTCAGTATGGATTTCCAGAAAACAAATGTAATTGCGACCAGGTAATGATTTAACCATACTACTATTATTTTTTATGGCGCGCTTTAATACTATATCTTTGAATGAATCCACCAGTCACCAAAAAAAGGAAACTACGAATTTCTCTGCTTGGAACAGTATCAAATTGCTATGTCTTAGTCTAGGAAGCAATTTGTTTATTTCACCTATTGCGATTCATGCACAAAAAAAAATAGCGACGACGCTTCAAATCTATATATTTTGAGTCCTAATCATTTCAAGGGTGTTTCCACATCAATAAGGGTGCATCCAATGGTTGGGTACTCCTGTAAGTCGAAGCTTATTAAGGAGTAATTAAAGTATAATATAATATCACGGTAAGATGTTCGTTCATCTTGCCTACTATCGTAGTCTAAGTGGTTTCTTATGTATCTGTAGACTGTAATATAGAATATCCTATTTCGTTTATTTTTCAGAAACGCTCAGATCGCTGCCTTGCTATTTTGGAGAAGATATATGACAATCCATGTTTCGGTAAATATTTATGTTCATTAATCATGTTTTGAATTGGTTATTTTTTTTATTGTAATTGCCGGTGATATTAACAAGATCTGAACATTTTACTCGCAAAATTTGATATGTGAATAAAAAAAAAGGATTCCATTCTTTTTTGATCAGCAATAAAATCTACGGTTGGCAATCACCATACTTAAACGTACTATATTTCTGTTTGTACATTAGCAAACGGTATTTACAACAAACGCAGTTGCTATTTTTTAAACAAAAATTGTATTTATCACCCAAATTATGTTTAAAAAATTTCCCAGCATAATAAACCAGATCATGCACTTGGTGTATTTCTCCCACGACAACCTTAACCAAACCGAGATCAAGTTAGCTGTTAATTTCATGCTTGTAATTCCCTCATTTCAGTTGAACCATGACTTAAACCGGAGTAAACAATCGAATTTTAAGGCAGTGAAAATTTCGGGGTCATATGACGTCTGCTCGATACTTGTTCCGCTAAATGACTTTTTCTCATGCGAACTTTAGAAGGCTGGAAATCTGATACCTACATTTTCAGTCCTTGCTGCCTCCAAACTCATTTAACGGCGAAGTTTAATTTTTTTAAATGTGTTGCTATTAAAAAAATAATTTAGAATATATATTTGTGTATATATGCAATCATCGAATATAGTGTAATTCATCAAAAATGGAATCTTATCTGAGCTTGCATAAAATATGATAATTTGAATATACGTATTTTTGAAATATAAAACTTTCCATTATAATTAAATTTGTATGGTACTATTTTAGTAAAATCATATTAAATGTTTTTATAACCGTAGTTCACCAATATACTATTTGTTTTGAAGTAACTCTGCTTGACAACAGACTTTTGCGAAGGAAATATTAGGGGCGTAATCAGGGCCGTGTAATTTAAATTTTGATAATAAATATGAAGAAGTGTTCCAAATGATAACCTATGTCATCTGCCCACTAGTTTCCAAATTTTGAATATAAGAATGTCACGTACCACGTAAGTGAATGACAATAGAACATTATTTTTTTGCATTGGTTTAACGATATCAAAATTTATTTTAGTATCCATACGACATCTTCGCAAATACAATCTCTTCCCGAAAGCAGGTATGTGTTTGTATTCATTTCTTCTTCCTATTCGTATATAACTTGTTTAACTATTATACGTCTTGATCTATCAATCACAATTCATCGCAATTGAGAAATCGCATACTTCAGGAGCACAATTAGTTCAACCTTACAATTTATACATAGAGGTATTGAATACAGCAAAATTGAGAACTTTTATTTTTTGCTTCTATTAGGTTTTTCTATAAAAAAAAAATCTGTGGTATAGCGTGTTCATGTTTAAACATTTCTTATAAAGCTTCATTTTTCAATTAATTCAGTGGACGCGTACGACATTGCTTCCTCAACGGTCGCTACAATGACGGTCACTACCGAAAACATAAATTTTAAAAAAGGAGATCAAGATATTTCATCTTTGTACGACGAAGTTATGGATGATGCTCCAAAATCTGCGAAAAAACAGAACGAAAAATCTAATTTTGACAACATTAATCAAAAATCAAAAAATCAGCGAAATACAGTTTCTCATAAAACGAAAAATAAAGAATCGACAGCATCCACAATTGGTCCCAAAGGGGAGATTAAAACAGCAAAACAGGTCAATAATGAAGAGGAAACTGAACGTAAGTGAAATAATTATGGCTTTTAATACTCGGTCTCAAGGGAGATTTTTATCTTAAATGAAAGATTTTGACCTCAATCTTTTATGTTAAAAGCTATTTTTATTGACAAAAGTTTGCACAGAGTAAAACAATCGATTGAATAATTGATACGCACTGAGAAACTTATTATTAAAAACGTAATTAAAAAAAATCAAAATTCGAAAAAGCAAACTGCTTTTCAGATCATTCATTCTCAGTGGTTACTAAAGAGGTTTAATTTAATGAGAGGAGTATGTTGAAAGCACAAATTCTTTTCAATCAAAAACTTTTTCTATATAAACCAAGTTTCCCCTCTTGAATTATTCTTTGTTATTTTGTCACTATTTCCACTGACAAAGTATCTGTATATGTTATAAAGGAGAACAAAGTTTTGATCGATAGAGAGTTATTTTCGACAAAAAAATTTTGAAATAATATTGCTGTCATAATATAATTATTTAAATAACAATATTATTAGAAAAATCAAGAGGAGCGACAAAGGAAATCACGAAACATTTTTCTCTTTCCGAAGTTACACAAACAACATATCGACGTCGTAAACAAGACGAAACCGACTATAGTAAGTTCATATGTTATGTAGTTCAAGTTCAATCTCATTATGGGAAGTCTGTACATTTAGTCCGTCCGATCAGTAGTTTTTCCATACGTGGCTGCTTATATGAGTAAAGTCGTTTAACCAATGACCACGCATGGGTTATATTTGTGAGATATAACGTAAGGCGCTATCCATCTGTAAGTTGTATAGATAAGTACTAGATAATAAAAGATACTAAAATTGCCCGCTTTATATTCAACGTAAAATGTGAACGAACGCACTTGCTGCTCTATTGACTTGATTCCGCAAGTATTGCCGCTGACCATCTGTAATAGCGATACGATAGGTATAAATGCCACGCTTATTCACGCTAATAAGGTTCTACGTTTTTGTCTAAATTTTCGCACACTCGATGTCTCTCGCGTGTGTTGGTCACATCCAATGACTGACTGTCTGCTGTATTTTAAGCATATTGGTCTCTGTCTCTCATACCAATAATACCTTCTATACTATAGTTACTTGTGTAATTATTGCTTAATTTTCGGAATCTCAGTAGAATGTTTTTTTCTTTAACTTATTAATATTTATACTTTACAGAATTGATTACAATAATACTCGGAATACTTCTAGGAATCTGTGTTTTTATCACTGTGATATACTTCGCTTGGGCCAGGTGAATATTTTCTCATTCATTTTGCAGTTTATTTCATAGAAAATGAACAAAAATTCATTTTACAAATATGGGTTTATGGGAAGTAACTGCCTAAAACAGGGGTGTGCAACTTTTTTGTCGATGGGCCATATAACCAACGTCAGACATCTAACTGAGCCACACATAAATGCGGAACATTATGTATTTTTACCCGTGTGTGCGCCTTATTTAACATAACCTGTCGGATTAAGCTTTTATGATTGACTGGCAAATATCTCAATGTAGACAAGGACCACACCAAATGGCTTGGCGGGCCGGGTTGTAGCTCGCGGGCCTCTTGTTGCACACCACTGGCCTAAAATAATATAGATTGAGCTTGCTTTAAACAAAGCAATAAGTACTTTTAAACGCAAATGATTAAAATTGTGCTATTCTGAAAGGCAATTCCGTTATTACAATCTGAACCTATTTAGTAAATATAACTCTGCTTCATTTCGAGATTTTCATTTTTGGAAAGTGGTTTAGCTATTATTTCTTGTTAATGTTGTTTATACTGAGTTATGCTATGTTACATACACGATCAGTAGTGCGCAAACGGATTAATTCAATAGAAAATTTTATGGTTGAGATTTGAAAATGATCAAAACGGTTCATCGGTCCAGCTTTGTGAAATAGCATAGACAATTTCATATTCATTTGCTTTGCCCACCATGAGGTCTGGTTCCGTATTTGAACTGATATCCGCACAGATTTGGTTGGGAAAGCAAATTTATGCGGGTTTTACATCAAACAAGGAATCACGTTTCGTTTTGAATTCAAATAAATTTTTTTTTGATCCCGGATGTGATAAAAGCATAAATATACTAAAGCAAGATCAATCAATATCAAGTTGACTTGAGTCGTATATTCATTGTATGATTCGATCGATTATCGCCATCAAATATGTCGATAAAGTGAAATAATGGGTATTTATATACCGCGTGTCATGATTTAATACCCTAAAGAGAAATTCGTGTCGGCTTGTGTAAACTGAAGCCTTTTTGCAAGCGATTTTTGCTGTGTGCTAAAACGATTTAGCTGACACTAATATGTACAGAAACTCTAACATACAAACTTCGAAAACACCTATTTTCAATACAACAATGGAGAAAAGCTCAAATATGGGAACGCGAATGTTAAACGATTAATATGCTCACCACAATATTAGCGAAAGTCTATCGAAATTTCAGAAGAATGGTGCTGAATGTGACCAAAATTCCAACCAAGTGTTAGGAATTTAATGAAAGTGGTGTCCGCGTGTAACATTGGGCATCGTAAATATTTTATATAAAAATAAAAGTCTTTTTGCGACTCCCATCTTTAAATACTAGAAATTGAATGTTATATACTAGAAATTTGATAATTTCACTCCACGAATCTAAACTCGAACAATTTAGTAAAGTGAATCATAGACCCATTCCGTGTCTATCTAACATTACTTCAATACTTTTCACAGATTGACCGGCTCAATTTTTTACACGAAATGTAAAACGGTTCACAGCGAGAATCACCACGACGATGCAACAGTCAGTACTTCAGCTTCGAAGCAGCCTTGTATTACAAAAACGGAAGAAACAAATTCGGAACATTTTTATTCAAAGGCGTGATACTTGCGTGCTATATGTTATTAATGTTTTTTTATTATATATATCTACATTAGTTCAAATCGTGTGGTTTTGTCTTTTATTGCCACCCTTTATTGGCCATATATTGCCGTTTAAACATATTCTGTCTGAACTATACCTATATACAGGGATGCCATAAGAATTGAAGCAAATTATACAAAATTTTAAATTAAAATAGTCGATTTTATTACTATATTTGTAACATTTGAAACTTTTGCATTCAAATCAGAATTTAAGCTAAATTTTACAAAGTAAAATCGGGCAATACATCAATTTAGAACATTCGAAATCGAAATGCTATGCAAAGCGAAATTCTAAAATATATATCAAATAATCCGATCGAATAAAGACATCCATCCTTGAATTTACATAACGTTATATATTAGTAAAAGGCTAGATGTATTTTCAAAACCGTTTCACGATACATTCTCCTTATTTTTAAGCTGTTCTCGCTGAACCCTAGTAAGTAACTATGACGGTCTTACCATGCCATGAAGCGTATCCAAACTGTTCAAAAAGACAAAACAAACGAAGTTTACTAAACTTGACTACTCTTATAGGCATTTCCTTTGAAAATTTCTGTCGAATGACTCTGTTCTAAGGTCACAAAAGGGCTATGGTGTATAAAATGGCGCACCTTCGATTATAGCTTGATTTGAATAAGTTACTTCCATATATCTTCTGCATGATAAATTAATCAATATTCACAAATTGAGTAACACACAATTGGGCAAGACTGAATTGTTTTCATATTAATTCTCTGGAAACAATTCATACATGAATAGGTCAAAGGTGCTTTCATACCAGCACTAGACCATATATCATTTTTGAATGATTTGTCGTCAACTTCTAATTAATGAAATTCATGTTTAAGCATTGAAGGTGAATACGTAACTTGCCATTACTGCCTGTATCTAATACAGCCCCATCTTATTTTTGTGTTTGTAATGCTCTCTCTGTCGCATTTAGCCCACATTATTTTTATATTCGCACCATGCTTGTTTATTTACTTCAACAGTGTATGTTAGTATTTTTCTTCTATTTTTTCCCATTTTATTTTCATTATTCCATTTGTTGAGATTTTAATACAATTAAATTATTTCATTTTCATATGCCATGTATATTATTTACCTGATACGTAATTAATGGGTTAATTCGTTGGTGGGGGACTTTTCGCAGGGTGAAAAGGTGGGGTGGTATGGCCAAGTATCATTTTTTGCCCAGTTATTGCAAAAAATCATGATAAACGATTAATTAAAGTCTACAATTGACCCTGGGTCATTTCTGAAAGTGAGCATACTAAAATGAGCAGCGAATTTTTGTATGTTTTGGGCTGGAAGTCGTTGGGAGAATTTCCTATCTGGAAAACTTTCAACATTTTCGTGGACTATCGCAATCGCGGTGTTTGCGTGAAGATTTGGGTGAGAAGAATACCACCGCAGGTTTCTAAGAATAAGTATATCATAACTAACAGTTGGGGTTACGTGAAACTAACTACCTTTCCTTGCTCTTTGCGCAGATGGATCCGTATGCGTATAACGCAAGGATGCTGTAGCAAGAGTGAAAATGACTATTCTATTTAATTCAAGAGTCTTGCTGCACACATACACAAATATATTTCTGTAACGTTTCGTCTGACGAGGTCAGACTTACAACTTGTCTGACCTCGGTCAGACGAAACGTTACAGAAATATATTTGTGTACGTGTGCAGCAAGACTCTTGAATTAAATAGAATAAGTATATCACATCGCAGGACCTTTTAAACTCGGATGCTAGCTCACTTTAACTTTATTTGGTATATTCAATTTTTAACTCGACCTAGTAAATTACAAACAATAACCGGTAGCTCGGCGTAAATGCAGCAACGATGTTTCATGCATAAACGAATCAGTTATTTAATGTGCGTTGATGAGAAGAAGACGAAGTAATGGCTTGAAAATCATTGTCAGAATGGTGTATTGTAAATACAAACAATAGGATTGACCCACAATTATGGCATTTGTGCTAAATCATTAAATAGAACTTTACATTTCAAAGTGAAATAGGCGCCTAGCGGCCTATCCTACGTCGCCGACTTGGGGATGGAATTCAATAAACTTCCTATGGTTACTATTGTTCAGAGTAAACTCTTTAGAAACATACTAGATCACGTGTGATCCATAGTGGGTAGTCGAATCGTGCGAATGTCTCAACTTATTGCCATAAAATTAAGACTAAACCTGAATTGTTTATCACCTTCAAACATTCGTCAAATGGCGAGGATTTTATATATCTTCGGATATATTTAAAAAAAATATGCAAACCTTTTCAGGATTTCTAATATCAAATAAAAAAGCCTATCTCAAACATTGAATCTTTTTAGTTTCAAAATTGGTGATTGGGCAAGGCCTTGCTTGAGTGATAATCACGTGCAGCAGAAAAAATTGTCGGCATTGCGTCGCGTTCAGTAATACAATATTTATGAATTGTTTGAAGTTTAAAACTCAAAACAGTCCGACGATATAACAAAAAAAAACAATGAGTATCCTACTTTAAATTCGATCGTCATGATACAACAATCAGGGCGTCATATCGTGTAACCTGAATGTTAAACAGAGTTTCCTTCAGTAGACATTGTTTGAAAAAACGGATTTGAAAGACGTCCACATCCTGCAAGAGTGATTATGTGTAGAGCGTCACGCACAGATACTTGGATTACGTCGAACAGTCGCCTCGTGACGCAAGAGATTTACTTAATGTTATTGCAAGATGTTGTTGTCTTTTCTATCGATCAACTTTTAGTAACTTAAAATGACAAGTTCATTAGCATACGAAGTAACATGGAATGTTAAACCTCTTTCGGGAAAGCTTCACAAATCGCATAAAACGTACCGAAATATTTGTTCATTTAATGGCATTACATATAGTCCACAAACAGGCTTTTTTTGGCGGTCCAGGATTTGATTTAAAATGTGAAAATTTTTAAGGGAACCGAAAAGTTTTAAAGTTGTTACTCAGTTTGTTTTGCGTTAAAAGTTTCAAGTATGGCCCGGTATTGCATCACTGAATGTAAGGCGCTATTATGGTTTCAGTGCCAAAGATTACTTACTAGTAAAGGAAGTTGAGGAATTTACAAGTACTTCAAAATTGCGTTCAATCAAGTCATTCCACTTTACTTACAAGCACAAACTATAATCTACACACAATGAATGCAGATTTGAATAATTCAGTTACATCTAGGATCTTTTTAGAAACTTTAGAAAATCAAGGAAATAATGATTGCGTTAATAAAACTGGGTAAAAACTCAAGTTACAATTACGGCTATTAAAACAAGTTGTCACCAAGCTGCATGTGTCATGAATACTGTGTATACCCAACCAGCAGGACTGTTGGAGAAATGTGACTAATTTTGACAATAAGGTAAATTTACATTTCCAATAAACGTTTTAAAAAATTCAATAGAACCACTTGCAACACAATATACATTATACTGTATAAGCTTCTCTATTTGGCGAATTCGTTTCCCTTTCCCGAAATAAACACTTGTACACTTGTGATAAATAGTTTTAATGACATACTAAGTCCACTTAGACAGGTGATTGAAATTCATAATCGAATACACACGTCAGGATTATTTGAAATTGTAACTTCCTAGTAAATCCTACTCTATACTGATTATTTTAAACGATTAATTATTTGCTCTCAATCGAAAGAAATATTATGGAAACACTGACGATTCTTGGCGTGTGTCTGCAAAATAAAGCGACATATAAACATCATTTGCGTATTTTTACAAAATTCTATGAAATATTGTGAATTAGTGATTTTTTTTTTGTCATCTTGGGCGTGAACGTGGCTTCGACGTGGAAAACATTGAAAACATTCGAAAAGACGCCTCGCTTAAAGATTGCGTGCAACTCAGATGCTGAGTGAACTAATACAAACTACCATCGGAAAGATGAAAAGACAAGTTCTTTGCAGCATCAGTAAGGCTTCAAAAAACAATATTCTTAACATTTTTCCAGGCGACTTTTCTGATAACAAGGAGATGCTACGTTGGGCTCCGATGGTCGCTTTTGTTTATACTCTATGTATAATACAACGATCATATTCTTCAAAATTTGTGTGTATCGCATTCGACAATCCTAAAATAATTTTGACATTATTCGTGGATTTTAAAGTATAAACGATATAAACATCTGGTTATATTAAAAACGAACAGTCTGTCGCTGTCATTCAGTGACAGTAATGACAGACCGATTTATATGTTTGGCCTTGTACGCTGCGTAAATCCATAAAATCCTCATTTATCTGAGATCGATACTAAATATGGCTTGTGTGCATCTGCCTAGCTTAATAACGAATTGAGTGAGATTATGGCGGTATTCTTTGAATATCTTTTATTCTATTACGCGTGTATTTGCCATAATATTTATTTTAGCATGAAAAGATACATCAATTGGTAATCTATACGCTACATTGAAGAGATAACGGATTGGGCTATCGAGATACGGTCGCATCTGCTGAACAAATATCGCGATGTTTATTACATACATGATACATTGCTTAAAACATTGTAAACAAAACTGTATGTAAACAGAATATTGCGATGATAAGTGAACGTAGCTGACATAGATAGAATATGTGTTATATATTATATTTTTACAAATTTAATATAACAGTAAAAGGTGACTTAAAATTCATCTTCATAGCATTTAAATATTTAAGGTGAGGCATTTTGACAATAAAAAATTTGCTTTTTTTATAAGTTGTTTGTTTCAAGTGCTATCAAAATTATTTGCTCAAAATTTGCAAAACTATTTATTTCGATCGCATTTTCCGTCCACAAGCTTTAGATTCAATTGTTACAATGAATGAAATAATTCTACGGTTTGCGTTGAGCATTGGAATTTGAAATTTTTAAATACAGCGCAATTTGAAATTACATATCTGCCTCGCTCGCATACATATTCAGATCTATTTGCAAAGTGAACTTCATGCAAGTTGACCGTAAAGTTTAAAAATGATCTTGCTTCTCAAAACCAACTATCGACCTAAATCGACATCCAGAATAGTCTTTATACCATATGTTTAGGTCCCTCTGAAGGCGTGTAACTAACTCTCTAGAGTCTAGGAGTTAAGTAGGTTGCCACGCGACAAGTTTTGTGAAAAAACTAAAAAATGCTATAATTGCCCTCACTGTAGTCGCGTGTCTGGTAATCATTTCGACCCGCTTGTTTGCGAATTTCATACAATTGCGGACAATTGAAAAGTCGTTATTATAATAATTGATTTATTTGTTATAAACCTTTTCATCTCCCACAGACATCAATTATGCGTGACAATCATAACTTAATATTTCGAAATCATCAACTCGATGTGTATCAGACACACGATAATTGGCTGTTCAGTAAATTTGGGGTAAACTTTTACAAAAGTTTAGAAGTGCTATTTGCTTGTCACCAAACTGATTATCTTTGTTCAAGCCTAGTTATATATTGTTAGAAATTAAGTTTTTGGAATTTGATCAAATTTATTGTGAAGCGCTTACGTTATTGCTTCATTCCTCGCCAATAAGAAAGATTGGAACATATGTATGTGAGTATAGACTACGTAGATGTAAAAACTCCATCACATTGGACGAACGAGAGTATTTTGTTAAAGGAGAAGGAAAACCGTTGTGCTAGCAATGGGAATTTGAATGTTTCTTGTAGTAATGCCTAGAATTTTAACTGTCGCAGTGTAATCCATTAGAGACCAATTAAATGGGATAAAAGCGACCTAGGCAAGCTTCTATTAAAACGAGAGAGCGTAGCAAGAAAAGGAGAGAATCAGAATTTATACGAGAAAAACGCAATAGAGTATTTTGATCGACGAATCTCAAGGTTGATCATCAGAAGTCGACAAGAACTCGAGATAGGCTCTCGCTCGAATTACTTCGGGGTGAGAGAAGGCTTGATTCAAATTATAGATGAGAGGCGATTGGCTAAATAAAAATTCTTTTCGAAGTTGGTGATATTGCATTTTAAACATTATAATAATATATTTGCTAAGCGATATAATTATTATATATATTATGATTATAATGTATCGAAAAGCTTTTGAAAATTTGATAATAATACTTAAAAATTAACTGCCTCCGAAAACCGAAAATACCTTTTTTTGCCGGAAATCAAAGTACAATGTAATGCTCGAGAAATATGAAATATGCAAACAAAATTCTCAAACAACACTCTCAAGTCATAGACAATTGGAATGTATTTAACACTTTCACAACTCAAATATTGGCATTTCTAAATATACGACGAGATGAATACCTATGAGCGAAAGTAAAACCTAGACCAGATTATTAGTGTGCACAAGAATTTGTTTGCTCGCATTCATGGAGAGGAGAATTTTACATTGATGAGTCCTATTGTTCACTGAGATATTGAGTTGCCCTAGACTTAGCCAAATTAAGAGATTTATTTTGTTTGAAGTCTAACCACAGACAATCATGCTTACATTCTTAAAGCATTTGTGCGCAAGTGTCTCTTTTCTTTGTCACGTATTTAATGCTGGTTTTGTATATGGATTGCATATATCGTTTCAGAGTAGATTAGAAATAGTTGTTAAATATAATTTATCCTGTGGGAACCGAGGTCTGGGATGTACACTATTATTCATTATAATAGCTTATAACTTATTTGCCTCCGCAATGCAACCGAGGAAAGCTGAAGCGCGCTAAGTGGATATTTACAAGCTTCACTTCATCATCATAGTTCGCGCTAAATTTTGGACCCAATGTCAAACGCAAAGCTCGCAATCCATTTTCCCAAATGTTGAAAGGCGATTTTTTTAGAATAATTTAGTGTTCAAATAAAAGGTAGTTTTAGTATTTGAAAGGGTAAAGTACCACATAATCAAAACTGGAGTATACTTGGAGTGGACAAAATCTAAAAAAAATCGTTACATACCATAATTGAAAATCTCAAATCTATGTAATCATTTTGCCCTTGAAAATTTGTGAAGCCATGTTGCTTTCGTCAGCACCGAATACAACCGCGAGCCTCGAATTGACAATTTGAGAATAAAATAAGAGCTATCAGTTCAAACCTCGTGTATTCATCATTCAGTGTACTTTAGTGGTGTAGTTTTTTATAAAGTGTTTAAAATGAGAACATTTTAAGAACAACATATCATAATTTGTCTTTGCAGCTAAATTTTAAATTTTGAAATATCTTCATAAAATATGTGGAATTTTGTTGTTGTGGTATTCATTGTTGACGTAACGTTTTTACAAGTCTCCTGTCGAGAACATCAAAAAAGTTCAAGTACCTCGAATGATATTCAATATAGAAGATATCTTAACAAGGAAGCATCCGTGGACTGTTTTGATGCTTTTGATGAATGCAGAAAAATAAGGGAGTGTCGGAGAGCCTTGAGAGGGTTAAATAAAAGATGCAAGGTATGTGAGTTTTAGGAAATAGCATCTATTTCACTGAAGCAGTATAATGAGTTTTCTCAGATATACCATTATGTTACAAAAATAAATATACTGCGATATATTTCAGTAAAAATATTCACGTCATTCAGTCAACATTCAGAGCCCTATAAATATCGTTTGAATTATTCTGTTGTTCAAATAAGTCGATGATAGGGTCAGTGTTTTTGTTCAATTCAGGGCTGCCACGGTGACGTACATTTATCTAGTTGACCTTGAATTTGCGTAATTCAAAAAATAGTTATAATTCACTAGTTAGGAAATCACATGAAATCATCAGTTGCCACTTCCAGTATCAGATTTTCATTTTTAAAAACAAAACACAGGACGAAGCACGTAACCCGATTATCCGTCGTTCCAACTCTTTAAAAACAGGTTCACGTGTGAAAGCGCACGAAGAGCGATGTATGCGATAGCAATGTTATGAATGGTCAGTCCTTGATCTCATATGGAACGATCATGATTTACAAATGGTTGGACTCAACTAGACGTTACACAATGCGATTATTAACCATAATCAAATCTCGTTTAAATAATTAGTCTGGGAACAATTATGTAGGATAAGCATTACTTGTACTTCCTACTTTTAAGTAACCCTTAACCTTTTATTCCGTATACTTTCGAATTATTTAGTAATTCGTATTTGCACAGGTTGTTTCCGGACGTTGCAGTGCTGAAATGGTTGATCTTCCCAGATGTGGACAAACTATGGATCATCTCTTTCAGTATGGATTCCCAGGAACAAGATGCAAATGTTATCACGTAAGTTTCTATTCATTCCTATCACTCTGGAGTACATTTGTAAATGTATTGACTCCTGGAGTTCGACGTACGTCAAATATTCATAGTTCACCAAATATTGGTCTGTTTTGTACAACATACGGAACGCTCTTTACGTCGCGCGCCATCAATCACACTTTCTTCTGCCCATCTGCTACTTTCTTGAATTCCTTTCCTCGATAGCATAATATCCATTTTTGGAACGATAGCTCAATTTGTGATAAGAATAACCAATTGAGAAAGAACAATTTATGCAATGTGTATATTTTTACAAAAAATTATGTTAAGATAATAATGTTTGTGAACATCAATGTATATTAATTTATATACTTTATTATCATTTAACTGAATATTTCATTTTTAGAACTTGAGAAGATGTTTCACAATGTTTAATATGATCTATGCCAACCCATGTTTTGGTAAGTCATCGATCATAAAAAAATTAAAACATACCTTTAACTTTATTTATCAGTCTCTTCTTTTGATACATTGCTTTTTGGTGCAATTTGTTTTCCATTTATCAATGTCTGACGTAACTAAATGTGATTGATGATGTAACACTAAAAATATACAGCTGATACAAAAAAGCTGATAATTTTGTCAAAATCACCGACATTTACGCCGAGATACAAAGCTTCTAATCTTAGTGAAAATTCTTCCTCGATCCCGACTTTCGGGCTTAATACTGCTGACGATAGTGAGCAATGTAGAAGCACGCCAAATCTAAATAATTGAAATGTTGTACAGGCTTTATGTTATAATCTAATTGTGATCTATATGATCAAATTTGCTTGTATGTCTTTAAATAATTTGCACCCAATCACGTTGTAATTAAGTGCTAATCTAAAATGTGTACTGTGTAAAATGTGATTTCACTCATTAATTAGCAATTGATTTTAACAAATTTAGTTTGATTTGATGACGGAGGCTTTTGCGTTACTATTGTTTAGTTGACTACAATTTTGTAATTTAACGTTAATTTGGTCTAATCAGTTTTGTTTACCTAAATAAGATTTGTATACACTGCATAGAATGTGCTTTTCAATAGGTTGGCTTTGCAATATAAAATTTATTTTATGAATAATGTTGTATTTTAAAAGAAGAAAGTAGCATAATGATGTAATTTCACAACGGAGTAAACATGTTGTCAGTTTATAACAGCCGGCAATGAAATTATGTTAGTAAATAGTAACATCACATAATTATTAAGTATATGCCCTTCAAAAACATTTTCTTCTACGCAGAAATGTGCAGACAAAATATACTCAATTTCTCATCTCTGCATGTTTCTAGTGTTATTCTATCTCATTAAAATAATAATAATATTAATGTTGTGGCATCGACCATTTCATCTGGAAACCATTCTCGATTCATGCTTTTACAGTGTAAATTCTTTGTTGCCGGCAAGCATAACAAGTCAAATGAATTGAAAATGTATTTTCTCCCAATTTTACTGTAAAAATAGCATTATCTCACGAGCGTGAATAAATATTAACTGTACATTATTACGTTACCAGCATAAGGTCGTACGTAGGAACACAAAATAAGACAAATGGGATCTACTATACCCCCTCATCTACGTAATTATTCTGAGCACGAGAAACCCAGAAACATACCTTGATAAGTAAATGTAATTAGAGTAGATTTTAACACGGTGTATGTGATGTGTGTAACCCGATGGAAATATTGGAAAAATCATTATTTGGTTGCTCTACTTGTTTCTTTATATATATATATATATATAAATATATATATTCTAATTTTATTTTAAATAATCACTTCCTGTTGATTCAGTTAACTAGCTTACATGTATCACGTAATTTGGAAAAGAAATAGGTAAAATCTGCTAAGCAAAAGTTGTACATTATGCATGTTTGTTAAAACAAAAATTTTTTTTTTCAGCATCGATCCGACATCTTCGAAAAAACGACCTTTTCCCGCAAGAAAGTAAGTTAATTTCTCAATTTCAAGTTCAGATCCTGAAACTAAAATTGCTCCTAAACATATTGTTTTATATTAATTCATAAGAATGATTTGATTTCAGGTATCAATTACCATGTTGTTCATCAATATATTAATGATGAAAAAAATTATTTTTGCAGTAACTGCATACGATAAAGTTGGTGGTGTAGAAGCAACCACGTTTTCAGCGGATGTCACAAACTCGGACCAACTAAACGGTCAGGAAACGGACATGAAAGACGAACTTGACGCACTGAGTTATGCTGTTACATACACGATCAGTAGTGCGCAAACAGATTAATTCAATAGAAAATTTTATGGTTGAGATTTGAAAATTATCAAAACGGTTCATCGAACCAGTTTTTTGAAATAGCATAAACAATTTCATATTCATTTGCTTTGCCCACCATGAGGTCTGGTTCCGTATTTGAACTGATATCCGCACAGATTTGGTTGGGAAAGCAAATTTATGCGGGTTTTACATCAAACAAGGAATCACGCTTCGTATTGAATTCAAATGAATTTTTTTTTTCTGATCCCGGATGTGATAAAAGCATAAATATACTAAAGCCAGATCCATCAATATCAAGTTGACTTGAGTCGTATATTCATTGTATGATTCGATCGATTATCGCCATCGAATATGTCGATAAAGTGAAATAATGGGTATTTATAAACAGCATGTCATGATTTATTCCCCTAAAGAGAAATTCGTGTCGGCTTGTGTAAACTGAAGCCTTTTTGCAAGCGATTTTTGCTGTGTGCTAAAACGATTTAGCTGACACTAATATGTATAGAAACTCTAACATACAAACTTCGAAAACACCTATTTTCAATACAACAATGGAGAAAGGCTCAAATATATGGACGCGAATGTTAAACGATTAATATGCTCACCACAATATTAGCAAAAGTCTATCGAAATTTCAGAAGAATGGTGCTGAATGTGACCAAAATTCCAAGCAAGTGTTAGGAATTTAATGAAGGTGGTGTCCGTGTGTGACATTGGGCATCGTAAATATTTTATATAAAAATAAAAGCCTTCTTGCGACTCCCATCTTTAAATACTAGAAATTGATTGTTATATACTAGAAATTTGATAATTTCACACCACGAATCCAAACTCGAACAATTTAGGAAAGTGAATCATAGACCCCTTCCCTGTCTATTTAACATTACTTCAATACTTTTTCCCAGATTGACCGGCTCAATTTTTTACACGAAATGTAAAACGGTTCACAGCGAGAATCGCCGCGACGATGCAACAGTCAGTACTTCAGCTTCGAAGCAACCTTGTATTACAAAAACGAAAGAAACAAATTCGGAACATTTTTATTCGAAAGCGTGATACTTACTTGTTATATGTCATTGATGTTTTTTTTACATCTACATTAGTTCAAATCGTGTGTTTTTTGCCTTTTATTGCCACTCATCATTGGCCATATATTGCCGTTCAAACGTAATCTGCCTGACCTATAGTTATATACAAGGATGCCATAAGAATTGAAGCAAAATTATACAAAATTTTCAGTTATTTGTCATAGATGCATTTCAAGAATCCAAATAACCAAATTTGTTATTATATTTGTAACATTCGAAATTTTTGCATTTAACTCAATTTTAGGCTAAATTTTCACAAATGAAATCTGGCATATATCATGATTTTGTGGCACAATATATTTTTTTTGTTTGTTGCACAATACATCAATTAAGAACATTTGAAATCAAAATGCTATGCAAAGAGAATTTCTGAAATATCAAATAATCCAATCGAATAAAGACATACATCCTTGAATTTACATAACGTTATATATTAGTATTAGGCTAGATGTACTTTCAAAACCATTTCACGATACATTCTCCTTATTTTTAAGCTGTTCTCGCTGAACCCGAGTAAGTAACTATGACGGCCTTAACATGCCATGAAGCGTATCCAAACTGTTCAAAAAGACAAAACAAACGAAGTTTACTAAACTTGACTACTGTTATAGGCATTTCCTTTGAAAATTTCTGTCGAATGACTCTGTTCTAAGGTCACAAAAGGGCTATGGTGTATAAAATTTGATCGTAATTTCAACCAGCGCACCTTCGATTAAAGCTTGATTTGAATAATTTACTTCCATATATCTTCTGCGTGATAAATTAATCTTGCAATATTTACAAATTGAGTAAAACACAATTGGGCAAGGCTGAGTTATTTAGTATTAGATACTAAAGGATATGGAAAAGTTACAGCAAATGCATTATGAATTAATGTGTTTTTCATATTAATTCTCTGCAAACAATTCATGCATGGATAGGTCAAAGGTGCTTTCATACCAGCACTAGACCATATATCATTTTTGAATGATTTGTCGTCAACTTCTAAAGAATGAAAAGCATGTTTAAGCATCAAAGGTGAATACGTAACTTGCCATTACTGCCTATATCCAATACAGCCCATCTTATTTTTGTGTTTGTAATGCTCTCTCTGTCGCATTTGGCCCACATTATTTCATATTTGCACCATGCTTGTCTATTTACTTCAACAGTGTATGTTAGTATTTTTTTATTTACTTTATTTCATTATTCCATTTGTTGAGATTTTAATACAATTAAATTATTTCATTTTCATATGCCATGTATATTATTTACACGATACGTAATTAATGGGTAAATTCGTGGGTAAGGGACTTTCCGCAGGGTGAAAAGGTGGGGTGGTATGGCCATGTATCATTTTCGCCCAGCAGTCAATGCAAAAAAATCATGACAAATGATTAATTATGTTCTACAATAGACCCTGGGTCATTTCTGAAAGTGAGCATAATAAAATGGGAAGCGAAGTTTTGTATGTTTTGGGCTGGAAATCGTTGGGAGAATTTCCTATCTGGAAAACTTTCAACATTTTCGTGGACTATCGCAATCGCGGTGTTTGCGTGAAGACTTAGGGGAGAAGAATACCACCGCAGGTTTCTAAGAATAAGTATATCATAATTAACAGTTGGGGTTACGTAAAACTAACTACCTTTCCTTGCTCTATGCCTTTGCGCAGATGGATCCGTATGCGTATAACGCAAGGATGCTGCTGTAGCAAGAGTGAAAATAACTATTCTATTCCATTCAATAGTCTTGCTGCACACTTACACAAATATATTACTGTAACGTTTCGTCTGACCGATCCGAACCGTCTGACTTACAACTTGTCTGAAGAAGTCTGACCGAGGTCAGACGAAACGTTACAGAAATATATTTGTGTAAGTGTGCAGCAAGACTCTTGAATTGAATCGAATAATTATATCACATCGCTTGTGTCATAGCCAGGACCTTTTAAACTCGGATGCTAGCTCACTTTAACTTCATTTGGTATATTCAATTTTTAACTCGACCTAGCAAATTACCAGCAATAACCGGTAGCTCGGCGTAAATGCAGCAACAATGTTTCATGCATAAACGAATCAATTATTTAATGTGGGTTGATGAGAAGAAGACGAAGTCAAGAAGTATGATCAACATGACAATAATTTAAAATTGTAATCCAAAATCTTGTTTGCGAGTGTGTGGCTATAATTTAGTCGTGAGATCGCTAGTTAGTAAAGACTCGAAAATCATTGTCAGAATGGTGTATTGTAAATACAAACAATAAGATTGACCTACAATTATGGCATTTGTCCTAAATCATTAACTAGAACTTTACATTTCAAAGTGAAATAGGCGCCTAGCGGCCTATCCTACGTCGCCGACTTGGGGATGGAATTCAATAAACTTCCTATGGTTACTATTGTTCAGAGTAAACTCTTTAGAAACATACTAGATCACGTGTGATCCATAGTGGGTAGTCGAATCGTGCGAATGTCTCAACTCATTGCCATAAAATTAAGACTAAACCTGAATTTTTTATCACCTTCAAACATTCGTCAAATGGCGAGGATTTTATATCTCCGGATATATTTAAAAAATAATGCAAACCTTTTCAGGATTTCTAATATCAAATAAAAAAGCCTATCTCAAACATGACGTCTTTTTAGTTTCAAAATTGGTGATTAGACAAGGCCTTGAGTGATAATCACGTGCAGCAGCAAAAATTGTCAGCATTACGTCGCGTTCAGTAATACAATATATATGAATTGTTTGAAGTTTAAAACTCAATAACAATCCGACGACATAAAAAAAAAAAAATGAGTAACCCACTATAAATTCGTACGTCATGATACAACAATCAGGGCGTCATATCGTGTAACCTGAATGTTAAACAGAGTTTCCTTCAGTAGACATTGTTTAAAAAAACGGATTAAGACGTCCACATCCTGCAAGAGTGATTATGCGTAAAGCGTCACGCACAGATACTTGGATTACGTCGGACAGGCGCCTCGTGACGCAAGAGATTTACTTAATGTTATTGCAAAATGTTGCTGTCTTTTCTATCGATCCACTTTTAGTAATTTAAAATGACAAGTTCATTAGCATACGAAGTAACATGAAATGTTAAACCTCCTTCGGGAAAGCTTTACAAATCGCATAAAACGTACCGAAATATTTGTTCATTTAATGGCATTACATATAGTCCACAAACAGGCTTTTTATTTGGGTCCAGGATTTGATTTAAACTGAGAAAATTTTTTAGGTAACTGAAAAGTTTTTAAGTTGTTACTCAGTTTGTTTTGCGTTAAAAGTTTCAAGTATGGCCCGGTTTTGCACCCCTGAATGTAAGGCCGCTTTTATGGTTTCAGTGCCAAGGATTTCTAGTAAAGGAAGTTGAAGAAGTTACAAATAATTCAAAATTGTGTTCAATCAAGTCATTCCAATTTACTTACAAGCACAAACCATAATCTACACACAATGAATGCAGATTTGAATAATTTAGTTACATCTAGGATATTTTTAGAAACTAATTTTGACAATAAGGTAAATTTACATTTCCAATAAACGTTTTGAAAATTCTATAGAACCACTTGCAACATAATATACATTATACTGTATAAGCTTCTCTATTTGGCGAATTCGTTTCCTTTTCCCGAAATAAACACTTGTACACTTGTGATAAACAGTTTTAATGACATACTAAGTCCACTTAGTCAGGTGATTGAAATTCATAATCAAATACACACTTCAGGATTATTTGAAATTGTAACTTCCTAGTAAATCCTACTTTATACTGATTATTGTAAGGGATTAATTAATTGCTTCTAATTGAATAAAATATATTATGGAAACACTGACGATTCTTGACGTGTGTCTGCAAAATGAAGCTACGTATAAACATCATTTGCGTATTTTTACAAAATTCTATGAAATATTGTGAATTTGTGATTTTTTTTGTCATCTTGGGCGTGAACGTGGCTTCGACGTGGAAAACATTGAAAACATTCGAAAAGACGCCTCATTTAAAGATTGCGTGCAACTCAGATGCTGAGTGATTTAATACAAACTACCATCGGAAAGATGAAAAGACAAGTTCTATGCAGCATCAGTAAGGCTTCAAAATACAATATTCTTAACATTTTGTCAAGCGACTTTTTTGATAACAAAGAGATGATACGTTGTTGGTAATACGCCGATGGTCGCTTTTGTTTATACCTCTATGTCTAATACAACGATCATATTCTTCAAAATTTGTGTGTATCGCATTCGACAATCCTAAAATAATTTTGACATTATTTGTGGAATTTAAAGTATAAACGATATAAACATCTGGTTATATCAAAAACGAACAGTCTGTCGCTGTCATTCAGTGACAGTAATTACAGACCGATTTATATGTTTGGCCTTGTACGCTGCGTAAATCCATAAGATCCTCATTTATCTGAGATCAATATCAAATGTGGCTTGTGTGCATCTGCCTAGCGTATTTAATAATGAATTGAGTGAGATTATGGCGGTATTCTTTGATTATCTTCTGTTCTATTACGCGTGTATCTGCCTTAATATTTATTTTAGCATGAAAAGATACATTAATCGGTAATCTATACGCTACATTGAAGAGATACCGGATTGGGCTATCGAGATACGGTCGCATCTGCTGAACAAATATCGCGATGTTTATTACATACATGATACATTGCTCAAAAACATTGTAAACAAAACTGTATGTGAATGGAATATTGCGATGATAAGTGAACGTAACTAACATAGGTAGAATATGTGTTTTCACATTTTTACAAATTTAATATAACAGTAAAAGCTGACTTGAGCGAAATTTTTTTTATTTCGTTCGCATTATTCCGTCCACAAGCTTTAGATTCAATGGTTACAATAAATGAAATATTTCTACGGTTTGTGTTAAACATTGGAATTTGCAATTTTTAAATACAGCACAACTTGAATTTACATATCTGCCTCGCTCCCATACATATTCAAATCTATTTGCAAAGTAAACTTCATGCAAGTTGACCGTAAAGTTTAAAGATGATCTTGCTTCTCAAAACCAACTATCGACATCCAGAATAGTTTTTATATATGTTCCATAAGTTTAGGTCCCGCTGAATTCGTATAACTAACTCTCTAGGAGTTAAGTAGGTTGCCGCGACAAGTCTTGTGAAAAAACTAAAAATACTATAATTGCCCTCACTGTTGTCGCGTGTCTGATAATCATTTCGCCCCGCTTGTTTGCGAATTTCATACAATTGCGGACAATTGAAAAGTCGTTATTATAATAATTGATTTATTTGTTATAAACCTTTTCATCTCCCACAGACATCAATTATGCGTGTCAATGATAACTTAATATTTCGAAATCATCAACTCGATGTGTGTCAGACACACGATAATTGGCTCTTCAGTAAATTTGAGGTAAACTTTTACCAAAGACTAGAAGTGCTATTTGCTTGTCACCCAACTGATTATCTTTGTTCATGCCTAGTTATATATTGTTGGAGATTGAGTTTTTGGAATTTGATCAAATTTATTGTGAAGCGCTTATTTATTGCTTCATTCCTCACCAATAAGAAAGATTGGAACATATGTATGTGAGTATAGGCTATGTAGTTGTAAAAACGCCATCACATTGAACGAACGAGAGTATTTTGTTAAAGGTGGAGAAACACCATTGTGCTAGCAAAGGGAATTTGAATGTTTCTTGTAGTAATGCCTAGAATTTTAACTGGCACAGTGTAATCCCCCGGAGACCAATTAAATGGGATAAAAGCGACCTAGGCAAGCTTCTATTAAAACGAGAGAGCGTAGCAAGAAAAGGAGAGAATCAGAATTTATACGAGAAAAACGCAATAGAGTATTTTGATCGACGAATCTCAAGGTTGATCATCAGAAGTCGACAAGAACTCGAGATAGGCTCTCGCTCGAATTACTTCGAAGTGAGAGAAGGCTTGATTCAAAAATGCTCAGGGATTGACAGTGTTATAAACAGTTAATACCGAGTTTCCAATGATAGATGAGAGGCGAAGAGTCTTTTCGAAGTTGGTGATATTGTATTTTAAACATTATGATAATATATTTGCTAAGCGATATAATTATTATATATATTATAATTATAATGTATCAAAAAGCTTTTAAAAATTTGATAATAATACTTAAAACTAAACTGCCTCCGAAAACCGAAAATACCTTTTTTTGCCGGAAATCAAAATACAATGTAATGCTTGAGAAATATGAAATATGCAAACAAAATTCTCAAACAATACTCTCAAGTCATAGACGATTGGAATGTATTTAACACTTTCACAACTCAAATATTGGCATTGCTAAATATACGACGAGATGAATACCTACCTATGAGCGAAAGTAAAGCCTAGACCAGACTATTCGTGTGCACAAGACTTTGTTTGCTCGCATTCATGGAGAGGAGAATTTTACATTGTTGAGTCCTCTTGTTCAGTGAGATATTGAGTTGCCCTAGACTTAGCCAAATTAAGAGATTTATTTTGTCTGATGTCTAACCACAGACAAACATACTTACATTCCTAAAGCATTTGTGCGCAAGTGTCTCTTTTCTTTGTCACGTATTTAATGCTGGTTTTGTATATGAATTGCATATATCGTTTCAGAGTAGATTAGAAATATTTGTTAAATATAATTTATCCTGTGGGAACCGAGGTCTGGGATGTACACTATTATTCATTATAATAGCTTATATCTTATTTGCCTTCGCAATGTAACCGAGGAAAGCTGAAGCGCGCTAAGTGGATAATTACAAGCTTCACTTCACCAACATAGTTCGCGCTAAATTTTGGACCCAATGGCAAACGCAAAGTTCGCAATCCATTTTCGCAAAATGTTAAAAGGCGATTTTTTTAGAATAATTTAGTGTTCAAATAAAAGGTAGTTTTAGTATTTGAAAGGGTAAAGTACGTCATCATCAAAACTGGAGTATACTTGGAGTGGACAAAATCTAAAAAAAAATCGTTACATACCATAATTGAAAATGTCAAATCTATGTAATCATTTTGCCCTTGATAATTTGTGAAGCTATGTTGCTTTCGTCAGCACCGAATACAACCGCGAACCTCGAATTGACAATTTGAGAATAAAATAAGAGCTATCAGTTCAAACCTCATGTTTTCATCATTCAGTGCACTTTAGTGGTGGAGTTTTATATAAAGTGTTTAAAATGAGAACATTTTGAGAACAACATATCATATTTTTTTTTTGTAGCTAAACTTTAAATTTTGAAATATCTTCATAAAATATGTGGAATTTGGTTGTCGTGGTATTTATTGTTGACGTAACGTTTTTACAAGTCTCCTGTCGAGAACATCAAAAAAGTTCAAGTACCTTGAATGATATTCAATATAGAAGATATCTTAACAAGGGAGCATCCGTGGACTGTTTTGATGCTTTTGATGAATGCAGAAAAGTAAAGGAGTGTCGGACAGCCTTGAGAGGGTTAAATAAAAGATGCAAGGTATGTCAGTTATAGGGAATATCATCTATTTCACTGAAGCAGTATAATGAGTTTATGTTTTTCAAGCATATATTGCGAATGAAGTGTAAAACAGTCAATATATTTCTGAGAAATACCACAATGTTACAATAAAAAATATACTGCGATATATTTCAGTCAAAATATTCACGTCATTCATTCAACATTCAGAGCCCTATAAATATCGTTTGAATTATTCTGTTGTTCAAATAGATCGATATTTTAGCACAAATATTAGGTGATAGGGTCAGTGTTTTTGTTCAATGTAATGCTGCCAGGGTGACGTACATTTATCTAGTTGACCTTGAATTTGCATAACTCGAAAAATATTTATAATTCACTAGCTAGGAAAACACATGAAATCATCAGTTACCACTTCCAGTATCCGATTTTCATTTTTAAAAACAAAACACAGGGCGAAGCACGTAACCCGATTACCCGTCGTTCCAACTCTTTAAAAACAGGTTGACGGAGAGCGCACGAAGAGCGATGTATACGATAGCAATGTTATGAATGGCCAGTCCTTGATCTCATATGGAACGATCATGATTTACAAATGGTTGGACTCAACTTTACCTTACACAATGCGATTATTAACCATAATCGAATCTCGTTTAAATAATTACTCTGGGAACAATTTTGTATAGGATAAGCATTACCTGTACTTCCTACTTTAAATAACCCTTAACCTTTTATTCTGTATACTTTTGAATTATTTAGTAAATCGTATTTGCACAGGTTGTTTCCGGACGTTGCAGTGCTGAAATGGTTGATCTTCCCAGATGTGGACAAATTATGGATCATCTCTTTCAGTATGGATTCCCAGAAACAAGATGCAAATGTGATCACGTAAGTTTCTATTCATTTTTATCACTCTGGAGTACATTTGTAAATGTATTGACTCATGGAGTTCGACGTGCCTCAAATATTTATTGTCCACCAAATGTTGGTCTGTTTTGTACAACATACGGAACGCTCTTTACGTCGCGCGCCATCAATCACACATTCTTCTGCCCATCTGCTACTTTCTTGAATTCCTTTCCTTGATAGCATAATATCCATTTTTGGAACGATAGCTCAATTTGTGATAAGAATAACCAATTGAGAAAGAACAAATTATGCAATGTGTATATTTTTACATAAAATTAGGTTAAGATATTAATGTTTGTGAACATCAATGTATATTAATTTATATACTTTATTATCATTTAACTGGATATCTCATTTTTAGAACTTGGGAAGATGTTTCACAATGTTGAATAAGATCTATGCCAACCCATGTTTTGGTAAGTCATCGATAAAAAAATTAAAACATACCTTTATCTTTATTTATCAGTCTCTCCTTTTGATACATTGCATTTTTGGAGCAATTTGTTTTCCATTCATCAATGTCTGACGTAACTAAATGTGATTGATGATGTAACACTAAAAATATACAGCTGATGCAAAAAAGCTGACAATTTTGTCAAAATCACCGACATTTACGCCGAGATACAAAGCTTCTAATCTCAGTGAAAATTCTTCCTCGATCCCGACCTTCGGGCTTAATACTGCTGACGATGGTGAGCAATGTAGAAGCACGCCAAATCTAAATAATTAGAATGTTGTACAGACTTTATGTTATAATTTAAATGCAATCTAAAATTGTAATCTAAATGATCAAATTTGCTTGTATGTCTTTAAATAATTTGCACCCAATCACGTTGTAATTAAGTGCTAATCTAAAATGTGTACTGTGTATGTACAAAATGTGTACTCATTAATTAGCAATTGATTTTAACAAATTTAGTTTGATTTGATGATAAAGGCTTTTGCGTTACTATTGTTTAGTTGACTACAATTTTGTAATATGGTCTGATCAATTTTGTTCACCTAAATAAGATTTGTATACACTGCATAGAATGTGCTTTTCAATAAGTTGGCTTTGCAATATAAAATTTATTTTATGAATAATGTTGTATTTTAAAAGAAGATAGTAGCATGATGATGTAATTTCACAATGGAGTAAACATGTTGTCAGTTTATAACAGCCGACAATGAAATTATGTTAGTAAATAGTAACATCACATAATTATTAAGTATATGCCCGTGCAAAAGCATTTTCTTCTACGCATAAATGCGCAGACAAAATATATACTCAAGTTCTTATCTCTGCATGTTTCTAGTGCTATTCTATCTCATTAAAATAATTATAATATCAATCTTGTGGCATCGACCATCTCATCTGAAAACCATTCTCGATTTATGCTTTTACAGTGTAAATTCTTTGTTGCCAGCAAGCATAACAAGTCAAATAAATTGAAAATGTATTTTCTCCCAATTTTACTGTAAAAATAGCATTATCTCACGTGCGTGAATAAATATCAACTATACATTATTACGTTACCAGCATAAGTTCGTACGTAGGAACACAAAATAAGACAAATGGGATCTATATCCCTTCATCTACGTAATTATTCTGAGTACGAAAAACCCAGATACATAACTTGATAAGTAAATGTAATTAGAGTCGATTTTTTAGCTAAACCTAACACGATTTGAACACGGTGTATGTGATGTTTGTAACCCGATGGAAATATTGAAAATTTCATTATTTGGTTGCTCTACTTGTTTCCTTATATATATATATATATATATAAGCCTATTTGCCGGGGTTGGAAGACATACCTATTTTATATGCATTTGGGATACCTCCGTATAACGTGTTCTAATCTGAGCCATCTCTCGCGGTATATGATTGAATGCGCTCGGCTACATTCATAATAAGTTTTTTTTGTATTCGGGCTATTAATCTAAAATATACCTCCGGTGTCTACCAAATCCGGTCTCCCTAATTTTTTTCAAAATTCGGAAAAGCCTATGAACTATGACTTGGGGGACCTTCAAGGTGGTCCTCCAAAACATGGTTTTTCAGTATTGAATTGAATCAAAATTTAACTATGATGTCATATTAATATTATACTTAGAATGAAAGGTTACATACACAGAACGTCTGGATAGTTGCAACTACCGCTGTGCAGTACTTTGAAAAATTATGAGCTTTCATTCCCGCTGTAACTCTGAACGAGTCACTGCATAGATCGGTGATTGGTTCATCCATACGTTTACCCAGCATATAATTTTTAAAAATTACGTTTTTAATATTCCCGCCATAACTAATATAATTTATACAGAATATCTATTCTGGAAACTTGACGCGCTCTCTATTAGCTCTGAACAATAAACTATTCAAAAGTATAGCATTGTCTGTCGCTCAGAGCTAGGCTTTGTACGAGCAAATGCTGTGAGAACGAAAGATGTCGTTTTTGGCCAAAATTGGGTGTTGCGTAAATGCCTACTACTTCAAAGTTTGGCATCATTGAATCGGACATTTCCTCAAAATTAGGCTCTGCTCGTGCAAATAATTGCTAACGAATGCGTCAATATTTCAAATGGTTATAAACCATCACACCAAAAGATTCTATAGATAAAACTATTGCTATGGATTAAAAGAAAAAAAGACAGCATACAAATTTTCCAATGGTAAAGTACAAGAAGACCTTTCCTGGGGTCAAGTGGTCGCAATACATTCAAGCAGTGCAATGAATATTAATACAGTATATGAAATCTATCAGTTTGGGTTAAAGGTCATCTTTGGAAGGTCTTGGTCACAGTCAAAGGTTGCTATGTGTCCCCGGCGTTTTCTCTGGTTGGATTTTATAGTAGAAGAAAGTAGCATTACATAAATGGCGTTAAAATGATGCAGGACCCATGCATTCATAAAAATCTGTATTGTCGTGTGTAGATAGCATTACATAACATGGTGTCAAAAGAGATGTAGGACCCATGCATCATTAAAATCTGTATTGTCATGTATGTGAAAATAACGTGTTCAATTTCCGTGTTGTCTTTTTTTAAAGTCAAGGCTAAAACGTAATTTTATTATCGCCTACTTAATTAACTTTTTGTTCGAAAGTTTATCTAATATCGGCTGATTCATTTATTTCAGATTTTTATTGGATGTGTTCTCAAAACTTCAAATATCCCAGTAGTTGTTTTGTTCTTAGAAAGGCTTTAGTTTGGTTACAGTAAGCAGAATTCAGTCCCAACGAAGTTGCAATAGTCAATGTGGAAATTAGCTGTTAATAGTTTTGGGAGACATGCGGGTGACTGATATCAATTATAATGATGGTTATTAAACTTTTTCATCCGGTTTCAAGTGTCAACTCGTTAAGCAACTCTCAAAACAAGCATACAAATTTTTGTCAGTCCAGTGATACTGTGATTCCACTGATTTCAAAGTTTAATCGTTTGAGTGATACCAAATATGCACTTCAATGATCACCACGTGACATACGTGTGTGGCCTCAAACAATCGTGCCGCGATCTGCCAGAGTGCCAGTTCCTTCTTCGCTGATTCTTTTTTCGGATGGGATTTTGGTTAGCCTATATGTGGGTTTTGGGGTACAGGTGTCATGTCAAATTATTGCCAGTGTGTGTGAGAGTATACCAGTACCGGGATCAAGTGTAGTTTAGTACGGTACGCTACCGGTACGGTACTTCTGGTGCGCGTAACAAAACGATTTTTGTACCCTACCCTACCGATATCGTATGTGTTATTCCAAATCTCCGCCTTACTACGGTACGCCAGCAATAAATTCGGTGACGTAATTTTTGAACGGCATAGTCTGGTGGGGGTTAGGATTATGCTGAAAAAAATTGAGCCAGGCCAACTAGAAGTTAATGTACGGTAGTACCGGCACGAATCTACACAAGACCCGGTACCACAGTACCATACCGGTACATACCGTACAGAAATAGTTTGCTGGTATATGCTAAACTGAATTTTAAAGTCTCTAAATTTTGCTTTACATACAACTGTAAAATAAATTTGCAAGAGAAAATAAGATTACAAAAAGTAAATTCAAAAAAGAACATGGAACTGGAATGTAATAAAGACTGGGCGCACCCACTAACGACAAAAATATTGTAAAAAGCTCTGCCACTCCTATAACAGGTATATCAGCATATATATCATATTACTGAATTGTGTTACCTGTATGCCTGTATCTGCTGCTGTCAATTTGAATTCAAAAATTGTAAGGTATTAATTGAATTGTGAGGTGTATATAAGAAGAAGAATTTAGATACAAATAGAGGCATCCTCATTCCATTCATAAAGTAAACCAGACTCCAAAGTTAGAACTAAATAATAATTTCTATATTCAGGTAATAAAATTGAATCTGCTGAAGTTGTAAAAGATATATTCGATGGAATTTTGCGAGAAATAGGTGAGTCGATTGAGTTAAGCTTCATTGATTATAGATGACAAAGAAATCATATTAGTGCAGAATTACACCAAACCCTAAAATTTCAAATTATTTCTATATCCAGTTAATGAAAGTGTTCATGAGGCTGTAGTGGAGAACATTTATGAAAGTGTTTTGCAAGAAACAGGTGAGTGAGTTGAGTCTGGCCTCATTCGTTATAGAAATACTGAACAGAAATATTATCGGGGCTACTAATACTATTTAGACCAGAAATGAACTTTATATTCAGAAAATGAAAAGAATGATGTAGAAGATATATTTCAAAGTATGTTACAAGAAACCGGTGAGTTAGTCAAGTTACGATTCATTGATTGTATAGCTGACAGAGATATACTATTAGTATAAATTTCATATGATTTCCACTTGTAATGTAAAAGGAAATGATGAATGTATTGAACAATTTTAGTGAGAACATTCTACAAGAAACAGGTGAGTCGGTTGAGTCACAGCACACTAGTTATAGATGACAAAGCTGCCTTTAGTAACAAATCAGATTCCAAAGTTTATACGCTTTCTAATTTCAGGGAAGGAGAATGACATATCAATGGAAGATTTCTGTGAAAACTTTCTACAAGAAACAGGTGAGTCACAGCACACTAGTTATAGATGACAAAGCTGCCTTTAGTAACAGACCAGATCCCAAATTTTATATGATTTCTAATTTCAGGGAAGGAGAGTGATAAATTAAATGAGGATTTTAGTGAAAACTTTCTACAAGAAACAGGTGAGTCACAGCACACTAGTTATAGATGACAAAGCTGCCTTTAGTAACAGATCAGATCCCAAATTTCATATGATTTCTAGTTTCAGGGAAGGAGAGTGATAAATTAATGGAGGATATTTGTGAAAACATTCTAGACGAAACAAGTGAGTTTATCGAGTTAAAATTCATTGATTGTATGATGGAAAAATAATACTAGTGCAAAAAGTGAACCAAATCCAGTAATAATTTTCATATGCAAGGATTAGAACGTAAGCGTAGAATATAGGCTATATATGCAAGAATTTGGTCATAAACAGGTTAGAAAAAATAGTTGTTCTTGTTCAAGCCTAAAATCTGGAATGCACTTTGCAAAAGTGTAGATATTCCATTCAGGTTTAGTACTGCACTCAAATCTTAATTTTTCTAATTTTCAACACATTTTCAGAAGCAGAATATGATTATTTTATACCATCATCTTCTGATTCGTTGCTTGTGAGCCCACAGGAAGAAAAAAAGAGGAAAAGGAAAAAGTTGAGAAAAAATGCAACTGGGCAAAAAGGTTTGTCCAAATGACAGGGGATTAGTTGAAATAAAATTTATTCTCCAATCTGGAATACTTATGTTTTTAAAATTATAGGAGAAAATTAACGAAAGAAAGTCATTGTTTGTCCAAATTCTCCAATTAATGTTCAACATGATAAAGCATTTTCCAAATTTCATATCTTTTGATGACATATTATTGCGTTGTATTTTTTCATTACAGGAAAGCAGCAGCAGGAAAATGAAGGAGATACACTGAAAAGGCCATGTGTGTATTGTGAGCAATTTCAGTCGAAACTCTCAAGACATATAGCTAGAATACACAGTGAGGAGCCCGAAGTCAAAGAAATACTAGGTCTACCTCCAAAACAAAGGAATTACAGGTTCGACCAACTACGAAAAAATGGAATGTACAAATACAATTTAAAATTGTTGAAAGAAGGCTGCCGCACCCAATCTCTGCTACGCGAACGCAGGGTTAAAAGTGACGAACTCAAAATGTGTGGATACTGTAAAGCCTTCGTTACGCGGAAATACTTTCATATGCATGCTAGAACATGTAGGTCCCAAAAATGGGGAAATTTTGTGGCAGCACGTTGCCACTGTCCGTGTTAACTGCAGAAGATACGGAGGATTTGTTATTTACCGACCTATTATCAAAGTTTAATAATGATGAACCAGGTCGATTGTGTCGTACGGACCATATGATCAAAAAATAGGGAGAAGTCTCTAATGAACATCATAAACGAAAACATGATAAAAAGACGGTACGGGAATCGGTTATGCTAAAAATGAGAACTTTGGCCACTTTGTTTATGGAATTCCGTAGATGTATGAAGAGTAAATTTGGCAACGATGTTAAAACAGAATCAATGCTTGATAGAAAGAATTTTTCAATGTTAGAGGAGGCAATAGACAATGTGACAACTTTGAATGAGGGTGGAATAAAAGCTGGGTCGCTGATTTTTATTGGCAATCTTTTAAAAAATGCCGTCAAAATAATGAAAGGGACATACCTTATTGAAGATGATGATGCAAAGGTGGAAACTATCGATAAATTTGCAGCCGTTCTCAATTTGCGCTGGACTAGTATGTTCGGCGATGCTGAGTATATCCTACAGAATAATCTCTAGACAAAGCAGCGACAACCAGGAATGCATTCAAACAGGGGTTTCCAGAACTATTCAAATATATCCGGATATCCAAGTATTCGAATACTTACTTTTTCGACTAATTTTTTTAATAATAACCGCTTTTGGTGGTCAGCAAGACATTTCGTTTTCGAGGCAAATCTTCAAACGATTTTCAGCTCGGTGTTTGCGTCTGTGCGTGCCTGCGCCGCAAATTGTTGGCAGGACACTTTTGCATGCTAATGGGCATTGCCTCGATCGAATAGTGCAATGGGCTGTTTGAAATTGTGTTCCATACCATTTTTAGAAATATTATCTTGAGAACAGAGAACATTTCGTTTAAGTATTTATTGCTTGTGCTTTGTCTTCGAATAAAGTGTTGAGCGTTTCACCTATTCTTTGAATGAACAGTGAGTAATAGGGGGAAGTAAGTTGGGGAATTTTGTGGCTGCTGATGCGGAATAAACGCACTTGTGAAAAATGCATAGGCTGCCGTTATCCTAGCGAAAAAATATTAGACGATGAAAATCATAATATACAGTTTGTTAAAAAAGTTACGCAAAATTTTTTACGGTAAAATTTTTCGTCATGATAACTTAATTAAAAAAGTAACTATCAAAAAGCGTCAGTTGTAAAATGTTTAAATGGCATTTAACCGCAATTCAATACTGTGAAAAGGTGTCGGTCGTTAATGTTATATTCATATTAACTTCTGTTAATTTTGCGTTACTTTTTTAACACCCTGTATAATAATGAGAAAGATGCCCATGCTGCCATTAGCACTCAAGATTTCTGTTTTTGGAATAAATATCACTGGCTCTCTTCACATGGGTGGTCACTATCTTGCAGCGCCAGGAGATGGGAGAGGTGTCGGGAGTTTGGACATCCACATTTGACCTCTTCAGGGGAATGAAGTCCAGATAAGTAGTTATAGATTTACTGGACTGCTTAATGATTACATCGATGACAGAAGAATATTATCATATAATGAACGTTCTATATAAATTCTTCTTTTTTTTCTCCTGTGTTTTAGGTGATTAATGCTTTTTTTTCTGACGGGAGGCTTTTAATACATATAGTAAATGTAATATGAAAGATGCTAATCTTCTCCGTCAACGTCAAAATTATTTGATTTATCAACCGATTGGGTGTTATGGCATCACATTTTCCAGTTTCCTTGAGCTTTTCATGCAATTTTTATTCAATAATTTTTAAATTATTTTATGACATCAGAATATGTAAGAATATTTATTATGAGGTCATAATGAATTTCTCCTGAAAACACGTATGATGTCACCATGGATTTTTGACGTTATTTGAAGTACATAATATAACGTCCAATAGCGTCACAACCTTACCATTCTGAAATGTTCAAATCGAAAAAGGTAACTAGTAATATACTGTCAGGACTTTTTTGCATTCCATTCGGTTGAATACATTACGTAAAATTTAAACATCGTACAGTTAAAATGCATACTAGAAAACAGTTGGTTTGCTGTGTAATCTATCCTAATGTAATACTACGTATTTGGAAGTTCAAAAGATCATTTTTAAATACCAGTTGACTCACTCATATTTATATTCGTAAAAACGCAAGAATTTATTAATAGTTCTATGCCGCAAGTCATGTTTTAAGCCAATCATGTTTAGGTCTTTCGTTCTCCATTTCAAAGCTTTACCCCAGGTTTAACATAATTTATTTAGTTAATTTTATTATAGTCACCAAAACACAAAATACTACATTCCATGAGAAAAAGTTTCTCAACTTACCAAGTCGGGCTATCGAACTTAAATCTGTGGGGATTTAAGTTTTTATACGCCGCCGATTCTTATTCTCGTTCCCGACTTGTTAATTGGGTTCGGTTTTAAGTTAATTATTCAGGTGATGGCATGGCTGAAAACCATAAAGTACCACAAAAGGTATTGTTTTATCTTGCTCATTCAAATACTTTTAATTGGTTATACACTACATTTTCGCTGGACAACATAATGATTATGACGAAAATTGCGTTTTCGAGGCCATAGCCATCATGAAGCGATATTTTCGAATTTTAGGCCTACAAATTATGAAAAAGTACACTGCATAGAATGATTATGTTTCAATTATTTTCTATATACAACGAAAAAAACGACCTCGGATATGCAGAATTAGGAGGATTGATGAAACCCTAGTTACTTCGATCTCCGAAAGTTACTATCTTAACCCGATTTATTTGACAATTTCAAATTCTAATTTTTTTTCTAGCGATCCAATCTAATTGAGTGATATATTGTTGATTGCATCTCTGAAATACCAATCGAATACTATAACCATTTTTGGTTTTGGGTGACTATAACAGAAGAAATGACCAAAAAACGGCAAAAATTCTTTTTTTTTAAACCCAAATTTTTCAAAAACTTTTGGATGAATTCAAATTATCATGATATTTTTAGTTTAGTTTTGTCGAATATATCCAAAACATGCTAAAAAAATTATCGAATTCCAATAGAACAAATTTTCCATTTTAGGGTCAAAGGTCAAATTGGTATTTAAAACCACTCACTGAAGATATAGATACCAAATTTCCCATCGACTAATGCAAATGTTTCCAAATTTGGCTAAATGGTACATCCGCGAGAAAGTTTTTCAACCTACCAGATCGGCCTATCGAACTTAATTCTGCGGGGAATTAAGTTTCATACGCCGCGATTCCTCTTCTCGTTCATGGCATGGTAATTTGGGTTTGGTTTCAAGTTAATTATTCAGGTGATGGCATGAATGAAAAGCATAAAGTACCACAAGACAAGGTATCGTTTTATCTTGCTCATTCAATTACTTTTAATTGATTATACGCTCCATTTTCGGTTGACAACATAATGATTATAAAGAAAATTGCGTTTTCGAGGCCATAGCCATCATGATGCGATATTTTCGAATTTCAGGCCTAAAATTATGAAAAAGTCGTGCAATAAAATGATTATGTTCAACTATTTCTAAATACAACAAAAAAAACGATCTCGAACATGCAGAATTAGGAGGATCGATGGAACCCTAGTTACTTCGATCTCCGAAAGTTACTATCTTAACCCGATTTATTGACAATTTCAAAATTCAAATTTTTTTTCTAGCGATCCAATCTAATTGAGTGATATATCGTTGATTGCATCTCTGAAATACCAATCGAATGCTGTAACCATTTTTGGTTTTGGGTGACTATAACAGAAGAAATGACCAAAAAACGGCAAAAATTCTTTTTTTAAAACCCAAATTTTTCAAAAACTTTTGGATGAATTCAAATTATTATGATATTTTTAGTTTAGTTTTGTCAAAATATATCCAAATATGCTAAAAAAAATTATCGAATTCCAATAGAACAAATTTTTCATTTTGGGGTCAAAGGCAAGATGGATATTTAAAACCACTCGCTGAAGATATAGATGCAAAATTTCCCCATCGACTGATGCAAAATTGTTTGAATTTGGTTCAAAATTTGCTGAGGTATGAGTGCTCGAATTTTATTTTGTGACTCCGCTAATTTCAACAAGCCGTCGTATCTCTGATAATATAATCCACAAATACAGCACGAAAAACGTGCGTTTCTATTCCTCACCATTTGGTTAAATTCATATTCTAAAACGCATAGCTACATTAATACAATGGTTCAACTATTACTATAATAAAATTATTTACTTCATTTCTAATTGCAAATTAGGTATCCTATTCACAATATTGAGTTATTCTAACCACCGTTTCCGGGGCTTTTTTCAGATCCAGGCGTGAAATAAACCATGCAGAAGTTATTAACTAATATTTGCCCAGCGTTATAATGCAAGTTCGCATCCGCTTGTTTGCAGCGTCCTCGCTTCATGTGTCAGTTAGATCATATCTCTTTAGCTTAGCATAGTTTTGTGATATGTAAATACCTACTGAAGAAGTGGTTGCATTTTTCATCTATCACTTCAATTAAATTAATATTCAGAGGCTTGTTCCGAGAGAAAACGAACAAGAAAAATATTAGGTGTACAGGCGAACAGTTTGGCACTGTTAAAAACTTATTTTGTATTTCCGTGTTCAGAGCTTTGTTAAGGTGCAATATGATAATTAAATCAAGGGCAAGCTTCAAATTGTGGTGCTATTATTGTACTATTTCTCAAAATTACACATATTCACCAGCCGTTTCGTGCACTTGAATGTCTCGAAGCTGCACCAGCCGTTTCGTGCACTTGAATGTCTCGAAGCTGCACCAGCCGTTTCGTGCGCTTGAAATGTCTCGAAGCTGCACCAGCCGTTTCGTGCACTTAGATGTCTCGAAGCTGCACCAGCCGTTTCGTGCGCTTGAATGTCTCGAAGCTGCACCAGCCGTTTCGTGCACTTAGAATGTCTCGAAGCTGCACCAGCCGTTTCGTGCACTTGGAATGTCTCGAAGCTGCATCAGCCGTTTCGAGCACTTGTGATTTTGCAAGATCACCTACGACATTGTAATATGATAATATATGCAAATTACTACCCGCCAGGACTGGTCTCACGACGATGCCCAAAGTAGAAGTTCTGGCCGTACCAAATGGCTATCAAAGTCGTAATCTAACCGACGGCCAGTACGGAAAGCAACAGTAACGATCCCATAATTTCCATACAACCGCATAGCACATGACTATGCACTCCGAATCGAATAGTAAATTATTCGAATCGGTTTAAAGCAAAATTTCGAATCGCCGCCATTTCGTTTTTTCTTTCCGCCAATGGTCGAGGTGAATTTTTTTTTTATGAAAGCCATTTTTTTTATTCAATACAATTCTGACATATGACTATTTTCTGAAGTGAGTTATTGATAAATAAGTGATTCACATTGTGTGTGAACGCTCAGCAATCTTTCTTAGTAATTTATTCATGTTTCAGTAATAAATTGTTGGCAGGACCACAATAAAAAAAGTAGCATAGAATTACATAGCTTCCATAGACTTCCTTAGTATTCGACATTCGATTCTGAAATCATCAGGTATTCAAAAATGCCCAGCCCTACACATGAGAAAAGACCTCAAACACAGGCGCAGTCAAGGTGACATACTTTAGGAATAAACAAATCAGCTTCCATCACTATAACTTTATTGGAAAACAATCACATCGATACTGCAAAATCAAACGAGGCTGTGAAGACGTGGGTATCCACATCAGGCTCCATGTCCGGATGACAATGAAATCTCCCTTTTCATTGGGAGAATGTTCAGTCAACTCTAATGCTCCTAGATATCGCCAGAAATTGGACTTGGATCACTATAAGGAGAGTGTGGAACTCTAACCTTATGTTAACAAAAGAAAATAACATACACCCACTTCACAGCCTCAGAACGAAAAGAAAAAAGTTCACAAAGCACACAAAACTATTAATTGAATCTTTCTAGTCGTGTTTGATATTTTTCTCGAAATTTCTTTCGCTCATTGAACAATTTTGTGTGAACTATCCGGACTCTCTGGTTCATATCAGTGATGGATTCTAATATGTGATTCTCTTCAAGGAACAACTTTATCTGAGCTAGACCTAAAAAAAATGAAGTATATTACCATCTTGACAAGTCCACTTGGACATTATGCAAAGTTTGTTAGAAAAGGCTTGGCAAGGAAAGAGCTAGACTAAATCAGAATTTTATTGCTGCCAACTGCACTATTCGGTAGATAACTTGCTGATAAATTTAAATACATACTTGGCAGATTCCCTTTATTCCCCTCTTGAGAAGTGTCCTCAATAACATCTTTGAAATTATTTTTTAATAACTCACTTTCTTGAGGCTGCCATTTTACATACTGTCGAGCTATAAAAAGGTAAACTAACTTTATACGATTTGCATCTACGGAGTTCAGTAGTATAGTTATTAAAAGGCTACCTTTTCTCACAAATTTGACGGTTTGCCCAGTTTCTGTCCTACCTTCGTCAATGAACTCATTTACTAGCTTTGTTTGCTTCGCCACACCACCTGTACATTTGACATATTATTATTAGAAAATGAAAATATATTTTAAATCATTAAAACATATGCTACGGATCTCACTTATATTATCTGAGCCTGCCAAATAATTTGTATTTGCCACTTCCTTTTCTGTAGACTCTGAGCATGCTTCCTTTTCTGTCGACTCCGAGCATGCTTCATTTTCTGTCGACTCCGAGCATGCTTCCTTTTCTGTTGACGCTGAGCATGCCATAGAATCCTGTCTTCCTGAATAAACAGAAAAACGATTACTTGAAACTCCATAAAATAAATACGTAAAAACCCACGACAACAGTAAATAAAGTCAGATTGTAGAAATGGGCTTTCCCAGACTGGAAAACCAAGTGACTGATGGAATGAGGTTAATAAAAAAATACAAAGCACTTTTACCAGAAGATAAGCTCATCCCATCAATGTCAGCAAAATATTTTCCAACTTGAGTGATTTCCTCAATGGCCAAAGGACACTGGTACACATTTTTGTTGATATCTGAAGAATGTCCCATATGTCTGAAAAAAACTTGCTGTTGTTGTTCTGGAATATCGAGGCACGCATAGAGTGTTGATGCCCGGTGTCGCATTTTAGTTGCTGTAACAACTGCTTTCACACCAGCGGCATCTACCACTTCCTTCGTTGCATGCCATCCACTTGCATGCTCCATGGACAAACGTGTGCTGGCAAAGATGAAACGGTTTTCTTTGTGAACATCACTGTTTTTGCGAATATCTAGGTTTACTAGAAAGTCAAGACCAGCGACACAGTCGATGGGAACAAGAACAGGGACAAGGTGATTGTTTCCTTTACCACCCTGGTACATTACTTTGAATTTTTTCATCAACTCTTGGTCGACAGATGATGACAAGAATTGAATTCTTTGGGTATCAATCCACTTATCATTTTTAGCATTTCCCAATCCTTCATAAGAAGACGACTGGGTTCACCACCTCTCCTTGCATTGAAGAGCGTGAGGCGTGACATCACAAGATTACGAATAACAATAAAATTTTCCTGGCATGGTAAAAAAATATTCATCACTCAAGCGGGATGCTAACGTATTTACAGTGTATGTTTTTATTTTGGCGACATCCTGTTCATTAGGAAGCAGTTCTGGTTGTCGCAGCTTGGTCTGGCGATTATGCTGCAGAATGTATTCAGCATCGCCGAACATGCTAGTCCAGCGCAAATTGAGAACGGCCGCAAATTTATCGATAGTTTCCGCCTTCGCATCATCATCTTCAATAAGGTATGTCCCTTTCATTATTTTGACAGCATTTTTTAAAAGATTGCCAATAAAAATTTTTGATCCAGCTTTTATTCCACCCTCTTTTAAAGTTGTCACATTGTTTATCGCCTCCTCTAACATTAAAAAATTTTTTCTGTTAAGCATTGATTCTGTTTTAACATCGTTGCCAAATTTACTCTTCATACATCTACGAAATTCCATAAACAAAGTGGCCAAAGTTCTCATTTTTAGCATAACAGATTTCCGCACCTCAGTCTTTTTATCTTGTTTTCGTTTATGCCGCTCAAAAAGACTTCTCCCTATTTTTTTGATCATATGGTCCGTACGACACAATCGACCTGGTTCATCATTATTAAACCTTGCTAATAGGTCGGTAAATAGCAAATCCCCTGTATTTTCTGCAGTTAACATGGACAGTGGCAACTTGCTGCAAAAAATTTCCCCATTTTGGGACCTACATGTTCTAGCATGCATATGAAAGTATTTCCGCGTAACGAAGGCTTTACAGTATCCACACATTTTGAGATCGTCACTTTTAACACTTCGTTCGCATTGAAGAAAATTGATTTGTGACGATTTTCTTTCAACATTTTAGATTGTATTTGTACATTCCATTTTTTCGTAGTTGGTCGAACCTGCGATTCCTTTGTTTGGAGGTAGACCTAGTATTTCTTTGACTTCGGGCTCCTCACTGTGCATTCTAGCTATATGTCTTGAGAGTTCGACTGAAATTGCTCACAATACACACATGGCCGTTTGGGTTTTCTTTTTTTTCTGCATCTGTCCTGTAATGATTAAATATGATGTTATGGTATTGTGTGTATAAACTAAAAAATAATAAAAAAACAGTCTATTCTGATAATTCAAAAAAGCTTCCCGATTTAGATTATTTAATAACACAAATGGCTGGTGGCATTGAAGAAGCTTACTTAATTAGTAACTATCGGAAGATATTCAAAAGAAAACTGTGTATCAAACTTACAATGTCAACATCAAAAAGTTTCATCATGCCATACATGAAGTATCTTTTGTAGCTTAAGTCTGCTGCCCTGATCGATAAACCCCCAGGTTTTAATTTTTTATACACTGTATGGTGTAAAATACTGTACATGTAACAAATTGAAAACGCACAAAAATGTTTTTCAGCAAAACAAAGTTTCATATGCACCTTCAAACATGCCCATTTCTTTAAAATTATTTATATTGGTTTATGGGGATTCCAGATTGAAATTTTTATTCAGATTTGTCTGAATCATTTACACAAACCTTTTTGTGTAATACTTTCTCTTATCTTTTTTCTTTCCCTCTCTCTGTGCTCACATGGCCTCAGGTGTAACAATCAGGCGATGATTCTAGTGAAGAATCAGACTCCGTTTCTAAGAATACATAGTACATTAAATGATTATGATTCGATGTGATACTAAAACATGACATATTCTCATACCATTCCAAACAAAAGTGGCATATAGATATTGTCACTTGGTCAGCCTGGCCATAAAATACAATATTTGTGAATTTTTCTAACCTGTTACTCGGAAAATGTTTTCATGTGAATCTTCCTGTACTGGATCATTTAGATGTCCTGGAATTTAAAATCACATGAAAGGTTCAGTCTGGTCTAATTTTACCAATTAACCAGTCTCTTGCATAATTAAAAATCATATGAAATTTATGCTAATACAGTAATAGTATTTCTCTGTCAGCCATATACCTGTATACCAGGGCTACTAAACTACCTTTGCTAAAAGTATGGGTACTCCTGAAGTATGCGCAGCAAGATGTCGCATAACCTGAACCCTAACTGAGTTCAGGTTGTGCGCCATCTTGGTGCACATACTTAAGGAGGTCCGAAGTCTGTATACAAACTTGAAAATTTCTGGGGTCCGGCCTGATCAAAAAATGTACTTAATACTGCACAAAACTATATTTTAATGACTCTATCTTTCGGTTAAAAAGTTAAGAAACACGAGTTGTGTAGAACTGAGTGACCCGCAAATATTTACATCCTTTTACATAACCAAAATTAAATGGAGACAACCTCCAAAATAAAAATAAAATCAGACGCAGTCGGAATCAAATACTTGAATGGTCCGGATTCGGACCGCAGTCTGAACAGTTGAGTAGCCCTGAGCTATACAATCAATGAACGTAACTAGAACAACTCACCTATTTCTTGTAGAAAGTTTAACTAAAACCTCCATTGATTTATCACTCTCCTCCCCTGAAATTAGAAATCATATAAAATTTAGAATCTGATCTGTTACTAAAGGCAGCTTTGTCATCTAGAACTAATGTGCTGTGACTCAACCGACTCACTGTTTCTTCTAGAATATTGTCACTAAAATTTTCCATTGATTTAATCACTCTTCTTCCCTGAAATTAGAAATCGATAAAATAAAAGAATCTGATCTGTTACTAAAGGCAGCTTTGTCATCTAGAACTAATGTGCTGGTGACTCAACCCGACTCACCTGTATTTCTTTCTAAAATATTGTCACTAAAATTTTCCATTGATTTATCACTCTTCTTCCCTGAAATTAGAAATCATATAAAATTTAGAATCTGATCTGTTACTAAAGGCAGCTTCGTCATCTATAACTAATGTGCTGTGACTCAACCAACTCACCTATTCCATGTAGGATGTTTATTTTGAATAGCGTAGTCAGGTGGGGGTTAGGATTGACACGTGCAAATATTGTTATTCTACACCCACCAGAAGTACGTTAAGTACGAAACCACACGAGACACCAAGACCTTGATAACTACCGGTATAGGTATTAAAGCAGGGCTTGACAGAATAGTCTAATCATAATGGAGAAATGACAATGCTGCAATGCCTGAATGCAGCAGTACCGATATACCTTAGTCACATACCGGGTATCTATTTTCTTACTTCAGTAACGGTACTGTATCATACTGCTCTAAGTCTGAGATATGTTTAAATAAATTAAATTGACAATATCAGAATTCAGAAATTTGAACACCCACCTTTCTGAGAAGTTGCATACAACTTTATTGTGATTTTTTTCTTAGCCTGTACGGGGGTCCAGTCCATATCGGATTCAATGTCCATTTTCAATATTATTTTCTATAATTTATATTAGTTAGATAGTATTTCTACTTGCAAATCTATATATCATAAAAAAAATGCAGATTTAGAACTACTGAACTAGGCTATGTCAGTATGCAGGTATGTGAATCATTGGATTTTCTCTTTTTACCGTATTCTGTAGAATGTTTGAAATACTGATAGGCCTATTAAGTCAGTACCCTGTACGGTACCGATTACCAGTGTACCGTACCATACACAGGTACCGGTGTAAAGATACGGTAGGCTATATCAAACTTCAGAAGTTACGGTACCGGTACCGGTACCGGTACCTACCGTACCATCCGAGATATTCAGATATTTGGGACCCAGCTCTTGCGAACACGACGAACTGACAATGCTACGGTACGGTACCGGTACCGGTATAAAAACTCAAGTACCTGTGTACCGGTACCGCGATCAAAAAAGCAGCCGCAGTCTGACGGTTAAGACTGAAATATGACATTTATTCCGGGACGAGGAAAGTCAGCTTCATAATAATACAGTACCGGTACCGGTAAACACGGCCCCCCCCGTCCATTCAGCCATTTCATGTTCTGCTGAAGTCTGTATCTCCGGCTTTGAAATAATTATTCCAACCTACCGCTACACATTTCAGCGCTAAAATCGCATAATTCAGAACCCAACCCCGAACAGCAGGACCCGACAAAGACAGAAACGAGCACGCAGGATGAGTAAGACGTCTACGGTGCAGGCTTGGCGGCACGCGCATCTATCCACGTGACATGGTATATTTTATCGAAAATTTGTGAGAGCTTCCAGAATTTGACTTCACGTTTATGATCGATATCGGACGTAAAAACCCATAATTAGAGTAGAAATATGACACACCAAAAAAAAAATCCATCTGTAAGCAAATAATTGGGAAGATATATTGCGTCATGTTCAAAAAAATACGAGAAACAAGATAGTCACCCACATAGTGGTTTATTCCATACCACGAATATAGATCATCAACCTACAATTATTATTTTAACAGTTCCGTCGACCGGGTAGACTGCTTATGTTTTGTCAACTACATTATCATAGCTTGAAGCATCTGATGAACACCCCATCGTTTACCTAAATTTCTTAAATGATGAGAACCGGACTTGGTAAAAATTTGGTAGACCGGTATATGTCGCCCTAAATTTTTGGTCTCCCAAATATAGCATTTTTAAACCCCAAATGTCGACCAACCAGGGCAAATAGGCTTATATATATATATATATATATATATATATATATATATATATATATATTCTAATTTTATTTTAAACAATCACTTCGTGTTGATTCAGTCAACTAGCTTTCATGTATAATGTAATTTGTAAAAGAAATAGGTAAAATCTGCTAAGCGAAAGTTGTACATTATGCATGTTTGTTAAAACTAATTTATCTTTTTTCAAGCATCGATCAGGCATTCTTCAAAAAATGACCTTTTCCCGCAAGAAAGTAAGTTAATTTCCTCAATTTCAAGTTCAGATACTGAAACTATAATTGCTCTTAAAAATATTTTGTTTAAAAAAAATTATTTTTGCAGTAACTGCATAGATAAAGTTGGTGGTGTAGAGCAACCACGTTTTCAGCGGATGTCACAACTCGGACCAACTGAACGGTCAGGAAACGGACATGAAAGACGAACTTGACGCACTAAAAGTTCTACCGATGCTACATTTTATGAACGAAATTTTTGGAGACGAAGGATTTGCCAAACCACCTCCTCCGCGAAATATTATTCCCCAGCGTCATCGAATACTGAGTTGGATTCGGTTGATAAGAAAATGCTTGTGCCCCAAAGTTCAGATTCGGCATCATAAACACTCTAAATGACATTAGCAGAGAAGAAGAAATTACCCAAGAAGAACAAAATGAAGGTATGATCTTTTTACCTATCACATAAACATAAACTGTACAGTTTTTTTTACCCGTTATCAAGACGTTGTTAAATTACCAGTATAAATAGTACAAATGTTTCACCGAAGTTATTCGAGTTTTATCTAGATAACATCAGAAGAACTTTGCGCTAAAATATAGAAATTATTTGTAACTGTGATGTTGTGGGTCATATATCCAAATATTGTTTTAGAAACAACTCCAAATAGCTATTTTTAAAGTTCATCATTTTTTAAAGTTTCAAGTGGATATTTATATGGAGTTATATTATGATAAATCACAAATTTGACACAGCATATTTAGACCCAAAACAGGATTATTGAAAGGATTTCTTTCATGGAAACAAAACCATATGCTTATTATTCACATCTCAAAATATTTATCATGCAGAGTTTCCATTGTCCCTCACAGAAGATAAACACAAAGATATGACAATGAAAAAGGACACAACTAATTACAGTATGTATTCTATCGTTGTCCTATTTATCTGTTTTTTGGAAATAAGACTCTGAAGGTGAAAATACATTGCATACTTTGAATACGTAAACCTATGTAATCCGTGGACTTGATCACACCACGGTTGCCGCATTGTTGTGTAATACCTTCTAAAATATTTATGTTGTCTGATACATAAAAAGGCGCCGAATCTCCTTGTGACGTTGGGTACTATGTTATTGCGTACAAGATGTTTGATAAGCATACTTGAAAATTCTGACCGAAATACTCCTCCATTTTGCAATCTATTAGCTAATTCTATGATTTTACTGTTTCTTTTTTGTTTTGTCATCTCTTGGTGTGTCTCCCATTTCTATTGATCGGGTGAGTAACAAGTAAATAGATTAGATTTCATTTTTTAGGACTCATTGCCATCATCTTGGGAGCTTTACTTACAATTTTCATCGTTTCGTCAATCATTTTTCTCACGTGGACAAGGTAAATATATCAAAATTCATTAGGAATCAAGTCTGGTTGTTACTAGAGCACAGAGACAATTGCACGAGATTGTGGGGCATTTTATTTTTGATCTATACTTGGCTGTACATGACAAATATACTCAGGCACAATAAGCCTAAAAATATCGCCCACCAGCTTAAGAAGATCGATCAGTTATGAGAATGCTTTTCTTTTCAATAAAAACTTGGAAAAAACATCATTGATGGATGTTTTGTGACGACAGCTTTAGTACGAACTGATACAAAATACATTCTGTATTTCAGGTTGCACGGAAAGGTTTTATACAGCCCCGGTAAAATTGTTAAGGATCATCGAAGAGAAGACGGAATTCCAGACTCTAAAACAAACAACAACGAAAAATTATCAAATTTGTACAATGATTCAAACGCATAATAAATATTGGAGTTCTTTTTCGATACAAAATAAATGAAAGAATGAGAAATGGTAGCTCTACGACGAGAAAAGCGAATATTGAATGCAATAAATCAAGTACTTAGTGGTGGAATGGTCTCAGCAAGGGTCGGAAAACGTCATCTTCACTGAAGATATGCAAAGCATAGAATTATTAAGCTTAATTCGCTGAATATTGTCCGATCAGACACATTTCAAGCGTTCAATAAATTAAATATATATCTATGCTTATATTTTATTTTAAAAAAATTTTTTTTGGATACATAAGGGAATGTTGAAAGATAATCAGGTATTTTTTGAATGCTGCGCTTAAAATTATATTAAAATGATGAGTATTTTTAACGAACTTATTAATACTGCGAATACCTATTTTAGTTATCAATTATTTATGATATTTTCTTTGTTACCATCTGTGCAATTTACTGTTATTATTTTGCTTCAATATTTTTTTTATACCAATACAAACTTCAAATAAAGTGCTATATTAAAGTTGCATCATTCTCTAAAATGGACTCATCACACAAGATCACGAACACAACAGAATTCAAAACAAACTACCAACTTAGACTAGGCTTAAATGCTATTGAAAATTAGAGTCTAGGCGGTAACCACATTCTTTAAAAATGTTCTAAAACAGTCGGTATGGATTTCAGCGTTTGCTGTTGAGCTTACTCCCACCAGATTGAATTACGAACACCGACTAGATCATTTACTTTTTATGCAATGTGAAACTCGCATGCAATTCATCCGTGATGATGGGTAAGTAACGCCATTTTGGGCAATGTTTGATCCGTTCCTGATAATGCCTAGAAGTCGACTAACAATGACTTTTTATTTAGAATTATTAAAATTTTAACTTGAATCAAATCAAATCTTCGATCAAATAAAGGTCGTTTTTGTGATCCTTGGATAGAAAGCAACATGATATTCTGTAGACACAACATATGCCAATACGGGATTATTAAGTTTTATATCGGTAGAATATCCAAGCTAAACGTCTTTCCGCCGGTCCACGGAAAGGTTACTACCGGTCCGCAGAACGGTGACATAAAAACGGAAAAGGCCCTTATAACACCTCTAAGTCAGGCCAACACAACACATCTGAGCACCACGTCTGACTTCACAGACCGGACTCTTGATGATAAATGACGCAATAAAACTTACTGAAAGTTGACATCGAACAGTTTAGTTTTTGTGGAAAAATCCCAATCATGACGCGGACCGCAAAAAAAAAATGCCTGGCGGGCCGCGTGCTGGAGACCCCTGGGCTAGTGCCAATTCTATACTTCATAATAACCATAAAACTAGCGGATCCTTTATTAAAATTAGGCTAAACGAACATAAATAACGCCAAACATCAATCAATTCTAATACAAAGCTACTAATAGGTATTGTTACCTTTCCCGACAACGTATTTATATGAAGGCCGTGTACTCAATATTGAAAACTACCAACCGAAATAACGGTATCGATTTAGGCTGGATGTAGGAAACACGTTACGTGTATCAATGTTGACCATCTCATAATTGGGAACAGTCAATAATGTCCAGCAAACCAATGCAGATCTCGCATTAAATTGCATGACCTTTGTTTTTGAATATATTTCAAACGCGTGTATTTTATTTATTTATGCTTAGTTCATATGTATAAAGGTGGTCCGCCAAAAATTTGGTCAGGATTTATCGGTCCGTCGCTTACAAAAAGTTGCCGATCACTGCTCTAGTCTATAGCATATTACATGTTAAGTAAGCGTTTAAGGCATTTGGCAGGGAGG